AAAATATAAATTCATTAGTGGTATATCTTCAATACATTGAAATTTTTTTTCATTTGAAATTCCACAAGATGAGGCTTCCCCCTTCCGCCCGTTCAACAGTCGGTTAAATTTAAGTTAAATAAATAAAAAACAAACAGCATTCATACCGCAGAACATAAAATTCACCCCTTTGACTTGATAGACACCCCAGCATTGCGTGGCGCTCTCTCTCCCTGGGGGTGAAGTACTACAATGTCGGTGGGGTCACTTAAACCCCCAGAACTGAGCCTCTACTTTAGTCAATCCTCTTTGGGGATAAGTACGAAAGAGTTTTTCATCCTCTCTCGATAATCTCCACGAAAGGACAAGATAAATCAAGAATTTTCATTTCACGTAAGTGGTAATTGGGTCAAGACATCAATGATTGAATTCCACGAGGCAATCGATAACTCGATTTATCGAGTGATCTAATGCCCATGATTGATTGATTTTAAATTCTCCATTTACGACTCGTGAATCATGGGACTGATCGTAGATATCGTCATTAATTACTGAATTATTTTTCATTTGTGATCTGCAGGCGAAATGGAGAGTTGGAGTGACTGGTGGTGATTTTATTTTTTTTTATCTAAAAAATCATAATGTCGATGGACTCTGGTCGGCTGGTGGTGGGTGGACGCACGAGGGAATCCAACGACTTCAGGGTCGACAGGTGACTCTATGAAATACAGTGGCAATTACGTGATAACGTTTACCTGGAAAAATCTGGGGATAATGGGACAGTCACACAGTGCTGAGGGAAGGTACAAGCTGAGGAGACCCAGCTTCAAGCAGATCACAATGGGAAAGAGACGGATTAATTACTCCAAAAATTTGTCACACACATTCTCATTCCCCGACGAAACAATCAAGGTATTACAAACTGAAATCGTCTCTCAATCTTCCAAGAATTTCACAATGTTTCGAGTAGTTATTTAAGGAATCGTACATACGCATTTGGCGATATTTTTTCCGAGGTGATTTACCTCTTTTATTGTCGAAAAAAAATAATTCTATTGGAAATTAATTAAAATTATTGATTAATCAAGAAATAATTTCGATAATTTCGATAATTTCAATTCATTATTCATTTCAGCCCCAGCAATTGAACATCAACACAGCAACTGAGGAAGAGCTCATGACACTGCCCGGTATAACCCGAAATATAGCAGTAAATATCGTCAGCCATAGAAGACTGATAGGTAGATTCAACAGAATCGAGGACGTAGCCCTTGTCTCAGGAGTTGGTGCTCAAAAATTGGAGAACATAAAGCTCGAGGTGTACGTGACATCAGTAAATGGCAGCGGTACATCATCAAGAGCATCAACAACATTGGACTCGATGGGAAATACAGAAAGCCCAGTTGACGTCAACTTGGCTAGTGTTTTTGATCTTCAGACACTGCCTGGTGTCGATCAGGTAATTAATTCTCAAACTGACACAGCACTTTCTGCACTTCCCCCACTCCATCACACGCTGTCAAGAAAATACTGTTGTAATTGCACGCGGTAATTAGACCTGTATTTGTATATTTTTGTGGACGTTCCAAGTTTATTTATAATGTTTTGCAGGAATTGGCATCGAGAATTGTTGAGAAACGAGCGAAGCATGGGTGGTATCACTCCCTCGATGAGATCGCCAAGCTGAGGGGAATGGGTAAGCATCGATTTGCGATGATAAAGCCACACCTGAAGATCAATGTGTCCAATGGATTGGTAATGAGAACACCGAGCAGTGACAGTACTTTACCAGCTTGGGATATACCCCAGGCATCGAGTACTCCAAGGCTCAATAATGTTGGAAGAAAATCCGGACGAATTGATCGAGAGGAATTCACTGAACCAATTGTGTAATTATTTTCTCACATTCCTCTATTCTAATTATTGAAAAAAAAACAAATTATTTACGGTATTTTAACAATAATTTTCTCATTTATTTTGGCCTCAGGCCAGAGAACGACGAGAATGAAAAACACTTCGAGCTGAGCACTGGAATATCAGAGAAGGAGATATGGGAATTGCTGAGCATCGCCAGTCCTCGTCCAAGTCTGAGATTCGAGTGCATCCACAGGTCTTTCGTGAGGAAAACGATAAGAATAGCTTCCTGGAATCTTACGTCATTCACTGCTGATAAGGCGAGCAATCCTGGGGTGATGGAGGTCGTCTGTCGGACTATTCTTGAGAATCAGATCTGTCTTCTGGCTCTTCAGGAAGTCAAGAGCCCTGAGGCACTGGAGATTCTCACTAATGAGCTCAATTTACCGACTCTCAAGAGAGTCAGGGATTGGCGAGAGAACAAGAGGAAGTGGCACTCGGTGCACCTCGGTGCTGGTCTCGCTGTCCTGTGGGATGCCGATCCCAGGAAGAATATCAGCCTCAGGGAGCAGCCACCAGCTACCAAAGTATTTCTTCCAGTTCTTGCCTCTATGATATTCCATGTAAGACTGGCAATAATTTTTAAAATTCTAAATTTTTAATTATCCTATTTTTCCAGATGTTAAAAGTTTATTTTATTTTTTGTAGATTAATAAAATCGATTTAACGATAATAAACGTCCAGATGCATGGACCGGACGACATGAAGATAATCGAGAGATTCCTGGATGCTAAGAATTCAATATTCCTCGGTGATTTCTCGTGGACAGACGACACGACGAATTGCAGTGGCAATATAATGATCGATACGAATACAGCAGTTAACAGCGACAAGTACTTTTACAAGGATAGAATAATCTGGCGTGAGGATTCCTCGAAATTATTTGATACAGGACTCCACCGAGTGGTGAGACAGGGGCTCATGCACTTGGGAATACCTCAGGGATGGAGATGGGGTGGTCCAGCATCGGATCACTGTCCAGTCTGGTGTGAAATATTCACAGAACCCAGTGACACGTGATACACTTCCATTTATCTATTGACTAATGATTTTTCTCCTTCGCAACGATTTTCAGGGGAGAGTTAAACTTAATTTACAATTATCATCGTTAAAACTTCCTCAAAAAATTGATACCCTTCCTCAATGAATTAATTACGATAACGAGTTGATAAAATAGTCGTTGTCACATGGCCTCAGATGATTGAGAGATTTAATATCTAGCAGTATTCTTCTTCTTGATCTTCAATTGATAAAAAAGAAGAATAAAGACTGACTATTTCGATTGTACGAGACAATGCGATGCTGGTATATCGTATTACTGATGTATTATATTGTAAAATATAAGAGAATTATTTTCCTACGAGTCTTGTCACATTAAACCGTCAGATTTTTTTTTCAGTTTCTTTAATCTCATATGTAAAGTGTTTTTTTTTACATTTCATGTACATATTTACAGTGTGGGGTTTTATTTCTTTAACTATACATTATAGAAAAATATATAATAAGGATTCCCTGTATGGTTCATTGATCAGCAAGAGCGAGCAGAAGGACGTGAGAGATAATCAATTCCAGTCATTCTAGGATATTTATCTTTTTTGATCAGAGGGTACGAATTATCTAAAGGTCCTTCACTCGTTGGTGACGTGTGTCGGTGTTTCACTCTCCATTCCCTCCATTCCATCGGGCAGGATCATCTCTGTTTGTTCAGTCTCTTTGTGGAGGGCTATTATTATCTTGTCGTCTGTCGATGATTGACTATCTGACGAGCCTTCCTGGGTCGATGTTGCTGCTTCCTGGTGAATGGACAATGTTCAGAAATTATTTATCAATTTTTGTAAAAAAAATTACAATCCATAATTATTTTATTTAAATTATTTTGAAGAGTAATTGGGGAAAATTAGTTGTTCAAGGTCAATAATGCACTCGAGATGATGAATATAAACAATAAAAGTATGAAATTTCGTATGAAATGAAAGTCTACTTACAGTACTCCTGATCTTGGTGTGTGTTTTAATGTGTTTGGTGAGATGATCAGATCTCATGAATTTTTTGGTACACTCGGGACACTGGAACCTCTTCTCCCCAGTGTGAGTCCTCCTGTGTCTCTGGAGTTCATCAGACCGCGTGAATTTTTTTCCACAGAATATCCAACTGCATACAAAAGGTCTCTCTCCAGTGTGCCACCTAAGATGTGCCCTCAAATGACTCGTCTTTCCATAAACTTTATTGCACCCAGCAATATGGCAAACGTGCTGCCTCTTGTGTGTCATATCCCTGCTTCTCTCTCCATCACTGCAATTGGGACAATTACAAGCAACACGTCTCCTGTGCTGCTTAGCTCCATCCTCTATGCTCGTAGTATTCGTTGGATTTGTTTGAGGCTGTAGCTGCTGTGGCTGTGGTTGTTGCGCCTGCTGTGGTGGCTGTGGTGCAATAGCCCCATTAGCCTGAATAGTCTGGAGTATCTGCCACTTTGTGGGATCACCAGAGTCGAGATGAACAGCTGGGGCAACAATTTGATTGCCAGTGGCAGTGGGAAGTGCCTGTACAGCAGGTTGAAGTGCACTAGCTGGAATTACCTGGACATTACCAAGTCCAGGAATATTTTGAACGGGAATTGACTGGAGAAATCCATTGGGATTGCCAGGCTGGAGTTGCATTATACCTCCGTTACCCACGTTGAGACCTCTCATCATTCCTCCCTGTTGTGCAGTGATATTTGTCAGCGCTGATGCTGATATCAGGGTCAACTGCTGGCCCTGTGCACCAGCTATCGTTATTGGTTGGATTGACTGCTGAGTTGGCTGGGCAGCGGGGATGTGAATCACTTGACCTGCTGCCAGCTGATTAGCATCGATACTCGTCAGCTTGATTTCTCTCTCTGAATCAGCTGGTGTTGTCATATTAGAAACCTCTATTTTCTGGCCTTCCTTCGTTGTTATCGATGTGAGAGGACGTCCCAATGAACCCAGTCCCACAACCTGGACATTGCTGGGGGCTGAGATCGAGGCGGATGTTGTCCAGGTGGTGCTTGACGTTGGAGTTGAAGCCACAGCTGCCTGTTGGGCCTGGACTTGTGCCTGTGCCTGTGCCTGGGCCTGTGCTTGTGCCTGCGCCTGGGCTTGAGCCTGGGCCTGTGCTTGAGCCTGTGCCTGTGCCTGGGCTTGCGCTTGGGCTTGGGCCTGGGCATGAGCCTGAGCCTGGGCCTGGGCCTGAGCGTGGGCTTGCTGCTGTTGGGCTACCTGTTGGCTCTTCCATCATTCATTATTCAATTGGACTAATAAATTCACTGGGATATCCTGGGAAATAATTGGGTAGATGATGAAAAATTGGGAGAGGTCAATTCTTCAGGAAAATTCGGTAATTAATTCCCAGAAATGAATATGGATTTCGCCTCATTATTTCCCAGTGTTTTTAACAAATTTACCTGTAACCCCTGCAGCTGGGGCAAATTCGCTATTTGGACCTGTTGAATCTGCCCATTGGGAGTGATAATCTGCGCCATCTGCGGTATCTGCTGCAATGGAAATCTTATTAAATTTTTGTTTTAACTTTTCATCTACTGTATCAAATATTTAAAATAAAATAAATAATAGTATCTAGAATAGATTGAGTCCTCACCTGCGCTATTTGTGGTATCATCTGTGCAGCTCCCATATTAAAAACATTGGACAGCGCTTGAATGGGAAAATGAACAGTCTGATAGATAGTCTGTCCATTATTAGCAGTAACTGGCACCTGAACAGGTACAGTCTGCTGGACATGCTGCATGGGGAACTGTAGAGGCCTGACTTGAACACTTTGCCCTGGAACATCAAGAGTTGCCTTGGAGTCTGCTCCATGAGGATTGCAGGCGTTAAAGGCCAGTGGTTAATTCGATGCATTGGGAAATTAAAATTGAAGAAAATAAAATAAAAAATCCACCGGATAAAATACAAAAGAAAAAAACCCACTGAGTCAAGCTGGGATTAAGCATCAAGCAGTTATCAAATGAATTAATCAAACAAACCTGTTGGTAACTGTACAGTTTGCCCACCGATATTCTGAATAATGGACGTGGGGAAGACACTGGGGGACCTGATGAGGGAGACTGGCTGGGGTGTTATTATGGTCTGGCCATTGGCCAGTTGAACCTGCTGTGAGCCCAGTTGCACCTGTTGACCACTTGCACTGGTGAATTGCATTGGTTGGGACTGATGATGTCCACCAACAGCTGACATTGCTGATGAGGGAATGAAGAGAGCCTCCTGGCCATCGATATTCACTGTCTGCATCTGGGGTATAACGCTGTAGCTCAGCTGCTGGGGTTGAGATGCTGTTTGCTGGGGCTGGGGTTGACCTTGGGTCTGTTGGGTCACCTGCTGCTGCTGCTGGGGCTGAGACTGATTACTTGCAATTGGGGAGCTCTAAAATCGAATTTATATGGACCATAAAATTTTGAGAACTGGAAAGAACTGAGAAAATTATTGAAGATAATAAATACCTGAAGAAATTGCTGAGGAATTCCCTGGACCGTGATAGTCTGCGTTCTCTGCTGATCGTGCTGCTGCTGCTGAGCCATTGGTACAAAATTCTGTAGCTGCTGGAGGGTAATAACCTGGGGCTGCCCATGGTGCTGTATCTGATCATGCTGACTCTGTGCAGCCTGTTGCTGCTGCGCCTGAAGCTGCTGAAGTACATTGGCAGTGAGAAATCTGATTTGAGGCGGTGACACCTGCTGCTCCATCTGCTCCTGTCCCTCCTGACTCTGGGACTGGCTTTGCAATTCATCGTGGCTCTCCTCAATAACCTCTTGCTGTCCACAAACACAAAGACAAAAATTACAAAAATTAAAATGCCACAACTGTTTATCTCCCAGAAAATTGTCAAATAAAAAAACCAATTAAACATCATCCAATCCCTCACCATGACTGAATCAAATCAATTGTAGAGAGTGTCAATAAATTTTCCGGTTGTCAAAAAAAAAAACAAAGTGTTTAGTGAGTCCCCGGAGTGGCGTCTTGGCGGCCATCCATGACCCCTCGATCCGAGAAATACCCAAGTGTTGAAACAACAAAACTCCAGGAGATGGTGTACGTTATCCCGGTGGAGCGGTGATATTTTTTTTAGCCATTCCCCAGAAATAAACACGTGCGAGGGGAGTTTTGATGTTGAAATAGTTGTTGTCCCGCCAGTGGTGGCGACAAAGAAGGCCCTCCTTGAGGACCCAAATGGAGGAACGCCTCTCTACGCCCCTGCACCAGCCCCACCCGCCCTGGACATGTGTTGGGGTAACGAGCGTGTGTTCGGGTGCTCTCGGGGATACTCGTCGGAGTTGTACACACTAGTCGATTTGTCCGTGTGAAACACCTGGACGTACCCACACATCAGTGGATACTTGGAATCGACGCAAAAACCGACGCTCAATCGACGCCACACCCGCCCACTCGACGCTATCAACCCTGAGCTCTTCCCCCCCGGACAACCTAAACATTATTTCACTAACACATGTGATGGTGATGTCTCGGGAACATTGGGAGCACCGTGGAAGGCTTTCCGCGGCCTCAGCCTCCACCCACTTTTCACTTTGGACTCCACCTAACTCGGGGCATACACGTGCTGGGGTATCTCAATTCTCGAATTTTTCTTTTCCGGGAACACAAAAGCTTCTCCATAGATTTCAAGGGTTTTTGGGGTTCCCTTGAATTTTTGGGGATTTTTTGGAGAATTTGGAAATTATTTATGGAATATTTTGGGAATTGATAACGATTTTTTGGGATTTCCCGCCGATTTTCAAGTTTTTGGGGTTGGGGCGGCTTTTGGGGTCGTTTTTTTTTGTATTATTTTTTTTTGTCACCTGCGGTTATTGTTTAAATGGTATTTCAACATTTTAATTCAATCCTTTTCCTTTCACTCGGAATATTTTTTTTTTCACTCCATCTTTTACTTCTCCACCACTGACATACAATATATTTTATTAATAACAATTGCCCACGTGCCTCCTGCGTCTTCACCGCGAAAACAATTTCCTGGTGATAAAATTATTTATAATCATGAGGACATATCCGGAATCCTCATGATTCGTCACTCCCTCCAATCTCCAGAATATTCCTCCCAAAATTCCCTCTCCATTTTCCCATATTTACTCCTCCATCCAGCCCCAAGAGTCTAGCCTCTAGACCTCCACATGTCATCCCACCAGGAACCCAAAATTCCGGGGTAAAAGAACCCAAAATATTCCAAAAAATGTCAAAAAAACCAGCGAAATGTGGAATTATTTATTTATCCCTTTATTGAAGTGGCACATACCTTCAGCTTGGAGGCCATATCGAGGTCGAATCATTCATCAATCGTTTTCCCGATGATCAATCTCCTCACAGAAAAATAAATTTCAAACAATCAATCTGTCGAAACAATGACCGAACAACCGACTGGATTCCCTCCAAAATAATCTGGCACCTCTGGAGGTGGAGAATTGTCCTCGTGGAGGAGTTATCGCGCACGCTTTCTGGAATTGGACTTGGGGAATGTCGGAGGTTGGATTGGAGTCAACTGCGTCGCCTCGGGAATACTCGTAACAGTGTACGTAGCGTCGGGACGCTATTTTATTTTTTTTCTCTTTTGAGTGTGTGAGGGTGGTGGGGGCTGTGGAGAATGGGGATTGGACGAGAAATGACAGCCCGTTTTCAGGGGCGTACGCCCTGACAGCTGGGGGACAGACGCCCACCCCGGGATCAGGGGTTAATGGCAGGAAAAATTTTTTTTTTGATACCATGGGTGGGGATAGGGTGGGAATTTCGATTTTTGAATTTGACGATTAATTCCCGCGGGGAGGAGCCGCCCGCCCTCAATTATTATTGTTTTTTAATTGTTATTCAAATTGTATTTGTTGTTATTATTGTTGATTAATTATTTATGGTGATAATTATGGGAAAATTATTGAAGTGATATTAATTATTTGAATTTTTTGAATTTGAATTGAAAAGGAAGTGGGAGAGGGAGAAATGAAAAACGAAAATATTCTGATCTGTTTTATTGATTTTTCAATTATTTCTCATTCATACCGATGAAATTGATAAATTAACGAAGATTGACGTTGATTATAATTGAAATGTTATAACACTGTATTTGTAATCAGGAGTTATATACATAATAAATAAATTGTCTAATATCATTCAGTAGCGGAGAGTCAAAACAGTCGATCCTCATTTCACCGAGTTTTATGCAAATATCTCGGAATGTGCTACAGCTACAAAAATTTTCATTAAAAACTTTTTGCAGTTCTACCTCTCCCCCATAAAAAAGGTCCCTTGAAAATTTTTGGGTTTGCCTTCCATCCAGAGATATTTCCCAAAAACCAAACCAAAAAAAAACGAAGAAATCCACTTTACTAAATTTCGAAATTCAGTTATTACGACATATCTCCGAATCCGAGGGAGAAATCGACAATTCCATAATGACCTTTTTTCCAGCTCTCATTTTCGCCTACAAAATTGGTAATTACGAAAATATCATTATCTCCCTCGGATCCCGAGATATCCACGGAAAACCGTTCGACCTCTCCATTACTGATCTCCAGGAAGACGACTGGGAGTTCAAAATATCTCGGGCTGTAAAAAAAAATCAGCTGTTGTGCCCAAAGGTGTAGAAAAGCATTAAGCAGACGATAAACAATTAAAGTTTGAATGATTGATGATTAGAAACTCGCAGTCGTCCCTTAATCGTCAAATCCCCATTTTTGTAAATTGAGTACAAGATTTAACAATTAATCTTTAAGTAAATTGAACTAGAATTGGCGTGTGTAAATTGTCACAGGGAAGTCCCATGTGATCACCAGGTGATATCATTGCACATTCTGTTGCTCTCGACAACTCAATAAAATTAATGCCTACTATAAATATTCGAATATCTTAATATCAGATGTCGTGATTTCGTTATTATTATCTAGGATCGAGGAAAATGAGAAGAAAATATTTAAAGGCCACCACCAGACCTCTCAACGCTGATCTGTTTCTTGAGGATGTCCTTTTCGTGCTGGGCCTCTTCCATTTCGGCCATCCGGGCGAATCTCGAATAGGCAACATGACCGGATTTTATAGCGGACATCATCTAATGAGAAATAAATTATTTACTAATTGCCCAATCACCAAATGCACTACAGCATGCGATAAATTTATCTAAACTCTCCACATGAAATAATTATTAAATTATTTTAATTGATAGTTCAATTAAAATGGGAATTAATAATAATAAATTATGAGAAATAAAACAATTGGGGGATCAAGACGAGGTCAAGGTCATTACGAGGAGTTAATAATTACACAGGGATAATTACGGGTCGTGTACTAGCGCAAAATTATATTTTTGCAATTGTCTAAGAATAATTCGAGATCGAAAATGGTGAATATCTCAAAACCACCGGGAGATACAGAAATTTTTATGACAACCTTTTTTCAAGCTCTGAATCGGCTCGATAAAAAAGCTAATAATAAAATTTTCCCTATCTCCATTTTTTAATGAGATATGCCGAAAAAGCTAGTCTCTCGTTTTCACCCCTCGACTGGAGATAATTCTGCTAAAACCAGTGCACGTCGTGTGTTTTAGTTTCGAATTAGCGGAATAAAGAGTGAATGCCAAGTGCAAAAACGACTGAAGGAAAGGGCAATTAGACATTCCGCTAATGAAGAAACAACGGACAGACCTGAAGGTACTCGTCCAGTTCGACTTGACCATTCATGTTAGTATCAATTTCTTTGAGAATCTCGTGTAGCTCTTCACCCGGCACATCCTTGTCACCGAATAGCTGCAGATGGGCAGATAAACATTGAATTAATTAATCTGTACCACTTATTTACCTGGAGATAATCCTGGAGCTCCATCTGCCCATTATAACTCAGATCAATCTCGTTCAGGAGTGCGTGCATCTCTTCCTCTTTGAATTTAATCCCTAACGCCTAAATTAATTAACAATTTATTACAATTACATGAATTTAAAATTACTCCCCTCGAAATATCACTCACTCTCCATAAAAAAAAAAATTCATTTGTCGAATTATGGAAAAACCAAAACAAAAGGATAAAAATCATTTATTAACAATTTATTTATTATTTACTCCTCATGATAAGTAAATAATTGATAAATAATTAATAAATAATATTAATCGTACCTTCAATCCTCGCCGGATGTCATTAATGGAGACATATCCCTTCCTATCTTTATCGATGATCTGGAACCTTTTGATGTAGAGCTGGATCTCATCTTTGGTGAGATTGATAGGAATTTTATCCCTGGAGGCTCGATTAACCATCTGTCCCATCTCATTCGCCAGAAATTCACTAGCTTCTTTGTGCTGCTTCTTCTTCTCTTCAGGTGACCACTTGAGCTCTTCAGCCATGATATCAATGATCCCAGGAAGTGCCTCATTGGCTGCTTGAACATTGAGAAAAGCCAGTCTGAGTCTCCTGGCGATCATATCGATAGCTGTTCTCGCATATTCACGACACCCGTAACGAATTTCGGCATCGATGTAGGGAAACTCTGGGTGAATTTTCTTTCCGATGATGGGCCACCTTTTGCCAGTGAGTGATGCCATTTTAGCAACAGCAAATGCACGATCGCCGTAGCTCTTCGCCAGGTGCTGTGCAACTTCACACTCGAGACCAAAATCCTGGACCAATCTGATGTACATCGTTGGACTCCATCCGTGGGCACCCTCCAGGAGCATTCCATCGGTCTGGGAGACGTCGAGGGGTTCCAGTCGACACGCCTGAATGGCAGCATCAACGGCTTCCTCAGCCATAGCTCTATAGGTCGTCCATTTTCCACCAGCAATTGTCACTAAATTCGTGGGACTGACGTGGACAATATGATTTCTCGCCAATGACTGGGTATTCGGTTTATTGGGATCAGATACAAGAGGTCTGATGCCACTCCAGGCAGACAGAACATCACCACGACGTACCTCAACATCTGGATTCAAATAATTCTTCACTTCCTGGAGGATAAACATGATCTCATCCTCTGTCGGTCGAGGATTGTGGGTGACCTGACAGGGTAAATCAGTTGTGCCAGCGATTGTTTGCTTCTGCCAGGGGAGGAAGAAGATGACTCTTCCATCGCTGGTGGCAGGATCGAGAAGACCCATCTGATCAGGACTGTAGTATCCAGGAAGTACAATGTGAACACCAGACGATGGACAGCAGATCTCAGGGACTGCCTGATCATCCATCTTCCTGATTGAATCAGTAAATGGTCCAGTGGCATTGATAATCGCCTTGGCCTTGACATCCCATTCCTCTCCAGTCATCTCATCCCTGACGTGTGCACCTGTCAGCACGGTCTTGCCATCCCTGTCACGTCCCTTCAAGAGATTCACCACTGACACGTGATTCACTACAGTGGCACCCAGTCTGGAGGCTGTCAGTGCCACTGCAAGGTTCATCCTGGCGTCGTCCTGTTGTCCATCGTAGTAGACAATAGCACCAGTTAATTTGTCACCCTTGAGCATGGGGAACAGCTCCAGGGCGTTCGCTTTGCTCAGGTAGTAGGAGGATTTTACTGTTTTACTTCCTGCCACGAGATCGTACATTTTTATACCGAACCAGTAGTAGGGGATCTGCCACCAGGTGTACACTGGCAGCATTATTGGGAGTGGGTGGGCCAGGTGGGGTGCACTGTGCAGCATCTGGGCTCGCTCGTGGAGTGCCTCTTTTACCATCTTGTATTGCTCAACGTCAACCTGCATTATTGCCTTCTGGAGATAACGTACACCACCGTGGATGAGCTTTGTACTCCTCGAGGAGGTTCCAGATGCAAAATCATCACCCTCGATCAAGGCTGTCTTCAGACCTCTCGTGCACGCGTCTAAGGCACATCCAGCTCCTGTTGCTCCACCTCCTATGATTAGGACGTCGTATTCCAGTTGCTCCTTCAGGTTCTTCAGTTGCTCCTCTCGGCTTGGTAGGGGTCTCTTCACTGGCTTGTGGGCTACCTTTTCCGCTAATACCTTTAAAACGATTATTCCGAGAGGTAATTTTGGCGAAATTGTTCTTTGATTTGTTTTATTCGAGAACATTGTAATTATTTATTAATTAGCGATATATACCGGTGAATCAGACGTAAAAAAATAAGTCGTCACAGCACCAGCCCCCACAGCACTAGCACCGGCTGCCAGCAATCTTAATGTTGCCATTATCCCTCAGGTCGATGACTTACTCGTTCAAATACTATAGTTCAAACGAAATCATTAAATCAGATCAGTCAATTCATCCCAAGACATGTGCAATCGCATGAAATGTCACGTGAATCATTACGCAATCGAGTTTACAATGATGGGTTAAACGATACCGAGTAATTAAATCCGACTGCAGTAATTGCTGGAAGGGAAAATTGCATTTGCCATTTGCATTTCTAAAAAATTATGAAATTAAATGCCAAAAATCCCTGCGACTTCCCCCAGGTCTCAAAACCTTTGAAAATATCTTTAATAAATTTTTTGGATTGAATTATTGATAATTAATTCGTATTAATGAATTTTATTGCCGTTGGATGGAAAAATCGAGTGGAAAATTGGAAAAATTTTGAATTTCGAAATGATGGAACGACTTGACTGCGGTTTTTGTTGAAGACAATAATATATTTCCATTCTACGTCGTTCCTCATTTATGTACAGACCTTGGCAACACCCGGGAAAACCACGTGGCTTATGTAATAAATTGACATCCATGTATTTAAAAATATATCGACTTTTCCCCGTCTTTTCCCTGAATTTTCACACTCGGACAAAGAGAATTCCTTTGAAATTGTCTCCCGAGCTCTCACTTTATTGCGTTATTAAATTTTATTGCAGAAAAGATAATATCTTGAGTCATTTATTTATTGGAGAATTGTTTTTTGTAATAAAGATTTATCCTCGACCTTTATTCTCTCCAATCGTTGCAATTATAGATTTCTTTGTGTTCTATAAACTTCGTTTCGCCTTTTTAACGTTCTAATCTAATAATCGAAATTTATCGAGTTTATCGCGCCGATATCTCGGAAGGGAATGACTTTAAAGGAAACTTATGAAGAGCTTTTTTCCGCAGAATTGAATTCTCTACAAAAAAAGTTCTCAGAGCTTTCTTCTCAATCCAGCCGCTCCGAAGATATCATCTGTTGTCTGAAATGAGAACCGAAACTTGGAGATCTTTAATAAAGTTTATTTTCCCGATACCTGAAAAAATAATGATTTCCCAAAAAAGTTCTGAGGACATTTTTTCCGCAGAATGAAATTCTCCCCAAAAAAGTTCCTTAGAGCAACCCTGTAAACCCACCCACACCGAAGATATCCCCATTTCCCCAAAACTCAAAACCCTCTCCTCGTCTCGAACTTACCCCATTGTGACAGCCCATCTGTTCCCCCAAAAAAATTCCAACAATTCGAATGTCGCAAGAGTTAAAAATGGTCCTGAGGTGCAGTGCCAAAATACCATGAAACCGTCTCGAAGCTATCCACGAGGATAACATCATCACGGCCTCGTGATACATTGACACAAATTCACGTGAATCCCCGATTGAAAGTCAACCGATAAAATCGTGATAAGAGGTTAGAGAGAACACGTGATAATTCCCAGGGACACGACCATGACCATCACCTGAATCACGAATTAAATACTATCTGTTGACATTTGCTGAACCCTGGGATCGAACTCGTAGTGATTGCGAATGATTCACACACTCTAGGACATTTTCTGCATTAATGAGATAACAGATGAATTATCACTGGCTCCAGTCACTGGACGCACCTTTAATTTATTTAAACAGCTTTTTTAGGACGAACTCCTCGATTTTTCGCAATAAATGGCAATCTTTTTCCTGCCGATGATTTCTGCTGGCTGCGGTGCCGGGCGCAGCTACTGTGCAATTTTTTTTTCTTTCGAGACTGTAGTCCCAGCTGGGCCCTGTCACTCGCCATTGGTCGGCCCAATCTGCCAATTAAGAATATCGCGGGAAATTTGAATTGATAAAAATTCCCGAAGAAATCAATCATTTTTTATTATAATATGCAATCAATATTATTGACTGTTTATAAATTTTTATTTAGTCACCAAAAAATCTGGGGACTCAATAATAATAATGATTATTATTATTATATTATATTCTATTAATCGTCATAAAATTCATTGGATAATTTTTGAATTGATAAAAAATGGAATTCTTATAAATTCAAATTTCTGGAATAATTTATAATATAAATATAATTATTTTTGGGGGGGCGATGGAGGAGAGGAGATGGTGACGAAATGTTCAAAAATGGTATATTTGTGAATACGCCTGGAATAATTTAAATCTTTTATAATAATGTTTTCTTCATTTTCATCTCTGATACTTGACAATGTTCTTACTTTAAATCCTTAAACTTAGTTTGACAATGTTAATAATGAGGGGGGGGGAAGGGGAAGAAGGGGATCTTCAAAATAATTTTCAGGATCGAGATAAAGGGATTAACTCTGCAAATGGGCGAATAGGGGAGGGACAAAGAAAAAAAAATAGACACTTCTGACGATAATCATTTATCCTCTCTCTCTCGTTGAAAAAGAAATCTCCGTTATATTCTCTCGATTATGTTCTGCTCACTTGGCTCGGCTAGCTCTCTCTTTCGGCTCATCATTTGTACAAATTCAATTAAGCAACGTATGTATACACTTTTCTGCAACGAGAAATAATTAAAAATAATTAAAAACAATAAAAATGGCAATAAACTGAAAAAAAATAGAATTTCACATTTTTCTTTATCAATTATCTCGAAAATCATGGATTCGAGCTGAAAACCGTAGAGGACTTTTTCGTGGGTAATTAAATTCTCTCAAAAAAATATTTTATACAATTTTTCCATAGAATCCATATTTTCCGAGATTTCCAGGCAAATTAAAAAATATATTATCATTGACGTGCTCACCTATCCTCTGGAGTTCGAGCTAGATACTCTCGTTCAATCAGGCCCTCAATACGTTTCTTAATTATCGTTGGAGACGGCAAAAACCTCACACGAAGCTGTTGTGTAACTTCAGTCACCAATACATTATGCTAAAACAAGAAAAAAAATCCCGAAAAATAAATCTCCAAAACAATATCAAAAAAGAAAAATTCCCAAAGCACTCACTTGCATGCGCTTTCGAGCTTTCATTATCCTAACAATCGCGGCCTCGATCTCATGCTTCCGATCCTCATCGACTTTATTACGTGTCTCCTTTCTCTCAGGTTCAGATTCACCCTTGGCAGCGACAGTCTGAATCTTAACTCTGTGCAATTTACTGGTGAAACTGTCATTGACAGTGAAATAATGCGACGGTTCGATCTCCTTGGACCTCGGAAACTTGAGTAAAACTCTCTGAGCAGCTTTGCCCATGGCCAGTGACTGTAGCGCCCTGACGAGATCCCTCTCAGGAATGTCTGTTTCACTCTGTATCTCCTCGTACGTCAATTTGTCACGATTATTAAAGAGCATAAGAACACACATTTGGTACGTGGATACTTGAATTATGTGTTTTCTAGGATTCGTACAGCTACTCCTTGGGCTGACAGCACACCCATTCCCATTGACAATTGAACTCGTTGAAGACGGTGTCTCCAGTCCATTGGCACTCTCCTCCCTCTTAGGACCATGAAATACAGCATTGAGATCAGCTGATCCAAGCTGTGGCTGGAGTGTCAGCTGTCTGCCACTGTGTTTTTCCAAATAAAAACGCCGAAATGTGTCAAATGCATCACGAGCTGCTGGTGGCATACTGCATTTTGGTGTTGCTGATTGCGTCGGCCAGAATCCAGTTGTAAGAACTCTGACACTCAAATCAACGCCACGCAAATTATTTCCCGATGCCATAACGTAATCCTTGAACTCATCCATTATCGTATTGCTGACTGTTATATCCTTGAACATACCCTCGAGCTTCGAAGTGAATTGACACCCACACTCAGTCTTCAGCTTTGAAATCATGTTCTTCTCGCTGTCATCGGAGACTGATTTATTGAGGAGAAGTCTCTTCGCCAGGTGTTGCTTGTAGTACCTCTCGAATACGTCCTTCTCCTGGAGGAACCTGAAGAGTACCATTGTCTTGTCAAGTATGCCCTCGATCTCCTGCTCAGTCATTCCCTTGACACCTTTCTTCAATTTATCATCGATAAACAGTGAGAGGTACTCTGGACTCTTGGAGTTCAGATTGAGGAAGTACTCAAAGTCCGAGACAATCATCTGCTTGAAGAGTTTATCGTTGTTGAACGAGTAATGGAGGAAGTGATCGAATCTTTCCTTGAGATCGAGAAGATTCTGGACGAAGTGGACAGCGTTTGTGGTTGCCTCCTGGTCCTCCTGCACCATCGAGCGTCCCTGCTCCCTCAGAAATTGTGAGACACAGTCGCAGACTGTTCTCAAACCATCGGATACCCTCGAGAATAGCTTGTACATGCACCCCAGGTCGTCTGTCTTCTGGTTCTTCAGCATGTGCACCACTCCACTGTTCTCCATCTCCACTATTGTCTTCATGTGGACCTTTATCAGCTCCTCCTCAACTACCTCGACTATCCTCGACTCTGTTGACTCGTCTAGGTAGTGCTTGGCTCTCTCCGACTCCTCCGAAATTCTCGCCTCAACTTTTTTTATGTACACCGATGCACTGTTCTCAGCTAAAAATTTTTGCGACTCCATACGGTAGAACTCTGCACTCTGCTGGAGGAATGGCCTCTCGAAGTCCTCCTCGTACACGATACGACTATTAATACCTAAACGCATCAGCATCTGACACGCATTTTTTATTGCCATACGATCTACAACTTCACCTCGACGCTCACGTGCTACCATCCCCAGGAGGGTCTCTCGAAGATGATCTCTCACGCAACCGTATCTCACCACCTGGTCATCAATTTATTATTAATAAATCATTCATTAATTATTCATCCATGAATCAATAATAAATTAATATCAATGAATTAATTGAGTGAAAAAATCAATCTTTCAGACAATTTCAATTGAAAAAAAAAATATTTAACGATTAGTACCTGATCACGAAATATTATGAGCCCAAGATTATAAACATTATCGACTTCATTCTGCTGTACATAGACTCGATCCATATACATGAGTATATCCCTGATCATGGTCATGGATGTTGTGTGGTCATTCCACGCTTGATTAAGTGTCTGTAAAAAGTTATTGTGCAGTGAGTGCAGCACATCCTCACGCACTTTATTCTCGAGATGATGTGTCACGACTTCCTTGAGGCCAGTGTACAGCCTCTCCCCGTATTTATGGAGTACCATTGTGTAGGCATTGCGATAAAGCTCCTCGAAGCTCAATCCCGAATTGTTCTTCTTTTGAATCTCTTGGATGGCATTTTTTAAAAGCGCCCAGATGTTCTCCACGTACTTTTCGTCGACAGTCGTCTGTTGATTAAATTATTCAATTGATAATTATATTTATCTTTAGTTAATGAGAATCTGTTTTCGGATGATGCTGATGTGATCCAGGGGTTGATACCATTTTTTTTATTCAGTTTAAACGGTTTTTTCCATTTTTTTGGAAATTTTAATTAGGAATTAATTATTTAGATTGTACCAGAGATGGGATCACGAGGGCCTTCCTCGTTGGCTGAATGGAGTGAGGGAAGTACGGGGACATTCCCTTGAAGAGATCCATTTGAATCTGTTTCAGAATTTTTTTTGATAATTGGAGAAAATTTTGGGTGAGAAAATTTATTTTTCCCCCAACCTCAGGATTTTGTCTGGAATTTTGGTGGTTAGGGCTTGGAGGCCGAAAGAAATGAAAAACGTTCGAATGTTTGTAATTATCTTTATATGTTTGGATGATAAAAAATGAGAGCGAGAGGATTTGTCAAATATTTTCGCGGATTGATAAAGATTTCATGAATATTTCACTTTACTCTCAATTGCACATCCGTTTTCCGGGAATATCTTCAAATCCAAGGCCGATATCGAAATTTTTAATTTCACCTTTTTTGGAGCCCTCACCCCGGCCTTGAAAAAGTTCCCCACGAATTTTCCTGTACCTCCAATACCTCCGAGGATGTCGCTCAAAAACCGAATGACATCCCTTAAAAAACCCCGAAAATCCGCCAATTGTCCTCCGCCATGCGTCACTGACCCCAAATCATCATCAACACAGCCGCCCCCTCCCCCTGCACCCCTAAAAAAAAACAATCCCCCAAAATACTCACCGGAAAAGCGCGTATCCTCATTTTGCTCTCCTTCTTCGGCAAAGCCCCACTCTTCAGCATCTCGACGTCTGCGTTCCAACAATCTCCAACGGATCCTCACCTGAACAAAAAGAGCAGAAAATCCCAAAACATCCAACAAAAACCATCAACAAAGCCCCAAAAGAACTAGAGGTTGGTCACTCTGTAGGAGTGGACATTGCAAAAAAAACGAATCAAAAGAAAAAAAAACAATTAGCAAAAAAACGACAACCTGATAGGAAAAAAAAAAGAGGACATGGGAGCAGATGTGATTTGACAGGTCATCTCCATGGTGCCCATAAAATCATCCCTGGGGTATATATGTATAAATATATAAATAAATAAATAAATGGGGTGGGGGTCATGTCATTCCCATCACGACGACTCACCGATGCAATCTCGTCGCCTTTATTTTTTTCACTTCACGACAAAAAAGTCAATGCAAAAATACGCGAGACAATGGAACATGTGAATATGTCATGGCACGTGCCGTTGGGTCCAGGCCAGTGGCTCACACCATAAATTCACGAGGTGACGATTAACTGGATAAACAATTATTTGTTTTAATTTTTACGTGTGTTTTGGGTCGCGTATGGAGAGCAGCGCGTCAGGAGTTGAACGGTTCGTGGCCATTTTTATAACAGAACAAGAACAGAATTGGAACCAAAGAGGATTGACTGAAGTAGAGGCTCAGTTCTGGGGGTTTGACTGATCCCACTGGCATTGTAGTACCTCACCCCAAGAAAAAGACGGCGCCACACGCAATACTGGGGTGGTGGGGTGTCTTCGGTGGATTTTCATGGTGGCGACGTCTTCAGAGCTGTCAATTACTTCAGGCTTCAATAGCCTCGGAAAAAATTATTTTTATTGAATAAATTATATCTCCTCTTCAACCCCCAAAAAAAATCTTCAAAACAAAAAAAAATCCATTGACCTTCACTCAGCCGCCCCGAAGTTATTCAATATTCCAGAATGGTATCGAACATGGAGCGTGATGGGACCTGTGACAGAACCTGAATTATATCAGGAACTAGAGATCAGGTTCGGGTGATTTACGTTGGATTTTGATATTTGCAAGGGGGTGGTTCAGGGGGAATAAATTTTTTGACATTTTACTCAGCGGTTTTACAAATATCACCGGTTGATGATTGCTCCGCTCACCTCCATTGCGTGCAATTGTTTTCCAGAATTCAGGGGGAGGGTATTTGCAATTGTTAACCGTAAAATTGTGGGAATAACCCACGCTTTCTTCTACCGTACTTTTAATTGTGGCTCTACCATATGCAGAGGTGAATAATGAGAGGAATAATCAACTGCTGAGGATTTTTCCGGATTAAAAAGACCTCTGGAACTGGAACTGGAAGAGGAACAGGAATTATAGAAAATATTTTACTGAAAAATTATCAGGAACATGGAGCCGGTACAATCGAAGGAGGAGGACGATCTCATCACACCCTGGAGTGTCCAAAGTAAAAATGAAACTGGAATCGATTACGATAAACTAATCAGTAAGTGCGAAATAAATTATTAATCATTCCCCTATTATTTTCCTTTACGTCACCTTTTTTTCACCTGATGGTCAGCCAGGATGACGTCATTTCCAGATATAATCCCTCAATCCCTGACTGTAACAACCAAAAATTAATAAAAATTTTTGTGAATGGTAAATTAATTTCCGTAGGTCTGGATTTAAATGAAAAAAATCATGAGAGTTTTGTGTTTAGTTAAAAAATCATTTGAAATTGCAGAAAAATTCGGGAGTTCCAGGATCGACGACGACCTCCTGGAGCGTTTCGAACGCGTAACAGGAAAACGTCCGCACCACTTCCTGCGTCGAGGTATTTTTTTCTCCCACAGGGACATGCACACAGCCCTAAACCTGTACGAGCAGAAGAAGCCATTCTACCTGTACACAGGTCGTGGCCCAAGCTCCGAGGCCATGCACCTGGGACACCTGATCTCCTTCCTCTTCTGCAAGTGGCTGCAGGACGTTTTCGACGTGCCCCTCGTGATCCAGCTGACAGACGACGAGAAAGCAATCTGGAAGGACCTGGACATAGACGTGGCGATAAAACTCGCCCACGAAAATGCCAAGGATATAATCGCCTGCGACTTTAATCCCAACAAGACCTTCATATTCTCCAACCTGGAGCACATCGGGAGTAATCCAGAATTTTACAAGAACATGATAAGAATCCAGAAGAGGGTGACCTTCAATCAGGTGAAAGGAATCTTTGGGTTTGGTGATAGTGATCCAATTGGAAAGATATCGTTCCCACCGACGCAGGCAGCACCGGCTCTCTCCACGACGTTTCCCTTCATCTTCAAGGGTGCCAGGGTCCAGTGTCTCATACCTTGTGGCATCGATCAGGATCCTTACTTCAGGATGACGAGGGATATTGCACCCAAACTTGGATTACCAAAACCTGCGCTCCTCCACTCCATCTTCTTCCCAGCTCTTCAGGGCCCCAGGACAAAAATGTCAGCTAGTGATGTCAATTCAGCGATATTTCTCACTGATTCACCGGAGCAGATCAAGAAGAAGGTGAACAAGTATGCGTTCTCTGGGGGACACTCAACTGTCGAGGAGCACAGGAGACTGGGGGGCAACTGCGACGTTGATACCTCTTATCAGTGGCTCGGGTTCTTCCTTGATGATGATGACAGGCTTGAGACAATCAGGAAGGTATGGGGGTCGAGTCTATACATGATTTCACTGATTAATTCAATCCCAATTAATTATTTGATTAACACTGCCGTTCAGATTTGAATGAATAGTTCAAATAGATAATAATAAATTGTAATTTATTGATAAAAATCGTGGAAAAATGATAATCATGAGAATTGTGGAGATTATCAAGTTTTTATGGAATAATTATAAACAATTTCAGACGTACACAAGTGGTGAACTGCTGACTGGTGAACTCAAGAAGGAGCTCATCGATGTTCTCCAGAAACTAGTGGCTGGCCACCAGCTGAGGAGAAAGGAAGCGACCGACGAAGTCGTCAAGGCGTACATGGTGCCTCGTGATCTAGGATTCGTTACCAATAATTAAATAAATAGGAACAAATGCGTTAATACATAGAGAAATGACTCTGAAATTCAATATTATGGCACGATTATTCTGGTTATGGCTTGGAGGGATGAAATAGCCAGTGTGAGATAGAAAATTCCCACATTCACATTTCTCCATTTTCCGAGAAATCACTCCACTTTATTTTCAAATAATTATTCACTCATTTGAATAAATAAAAATTCAATCATCAATCCGCCTTTTTAATTCCCTATTTTTATAAAATAATTATTTGTCTAGAATAATAAAAAAAAATATTGGATTTATTAATTGAATTTAATTTAAAAAAAAAGTATAATCATATTATAATGCGAATTGCGCCATTTAAATTGATGAATTATAAATAATTAACAATGAGTAATTTCTGTTATTTTTTTTTTATGAATTAATGATGAATAATGAAATGGAATTTGAATAAATCGCCTGAAAAACCGGAAGTTCACCCCCAGCCCCAAAATCAAAACAGCCCGGTGATTTCTGATTGGTGCAAACTGACGTCATCTGGAGTGACATCTAAAAATAACCGGTGCGCATGCGCAGTCCCCCCCTTCCGTGTGTATCCGCCATTCATGTATCCGAGTGAGAATTCTCGTTGTTTTCTGTGTGTAGAGGCGGGACCATTGGACAGGTACACCAATTACACCTCGATAATAATATTACAACAATAAATAATAATTAAAAAGGTACCACTGAGTCCCAGAAGAGCCGATAATTATCGCCCAACGAGAGATTGGCTGACCCCCAGGGGCGAAATTGCTTCACCAGAAGAAGAGATTAAATTGGAAAAAAAAAAAAATTGCGAGGAATATGGTGACGCTGATATTTGCGGGACATTGTAAAAACATTAAACGATTCGATTAACGAATATATCGGATAATCGGATTGAGTTATGATCGAGTGCAGCCTATGTAAGTTCGTCATTTCACTTATTAAATCTTATAATGTACACCAGATTTTCATGTATTTATGTACATCACGGATATATGTTCACGTGTGTTGCACACATGAGGGGAAATTGGATGTATTTTTTTTATGCAATCGAGTTTTCTTTGAAAATTCTCAGGGTCATGCCAAAATCACAGACTTTAACTCGAGATGTGAATTATCTCGGGTTTTCTTTTTCCTGGGGTTTTTCGCGATTTGCAGTTTGAAGCTCCTGGTGGAGCAACACCTCGTGGATGTCAATTATCCCGTCATTTCTACTCGATTTTCCTGGAGATTTATGAAAATTATTTATGTAATTTTTTTTATTAAGTCATTACTGGAATTATGAAAAGAGATTCACCAAATCGATTTGTTTTTTGATAATATCTTTGGAACCAACAGAGATACAGAAATATTTATAGTAACCATTTTTGTGCCTCTTGATTAGCCCGAGAAAAAAGGTGTTATCAAAAAAATTATTCTCTCCCTCAGTTTCGGAGATATTTTCGAAAAACGATGGGATCCCCAGGTGCTCTGAATGGAGCATCAGCTGGAGTTTCATAATCTAATTATTTAAAAAAAATTCTGAAACAAAGAGCATCACCAGCGAATGGAGGTGACACTCTATGACAATTTTCCAATTTTGCAGATAAATAAAACCCCAGAAGAAGATTGAACCGGTGAAAGCGCAGAGTGGAAATAAATAATAAAAATGGGAGCATTTTTGGACACCCCAAATACCGAAAAGTACAATGAGCACGGGTCAGGGAATGATTTGAGATATGGAGTGGCGAGTATGCAGGGATGGAGAATGGAGATGGAAGATGCACATCGTGCGATAACAGGTCTAGAAGGTGGTCTATCAGACTGGAGTTATTTCGCAGTATTTGATGGTCATGCAGGTGCTCTCGTATCAGCCCACAGTGCAGAGCACTTGCTCGAATCCATAATGCAAACCGAGGAGTTCAAGGCTGAGGACGTGATCAAGGGAATTCACTCGGGTTTTTTGAGACTCGACGACGAGATGAGGAGTCTACCCCTCATAACTGTCGAAAAATCTGGTTCAACAGCTGTTTGTGCTTTCATATCACCCAAGCACATCTACATCGCCAACTGTGGTGACTCCAGGGCTGTCCTCTGCAACTCTGGTAATCCAGTTTTTGCGACTAGAGATCATAAACCTGTACTGCCAGCTGAGAAGGAGAGAATTCAGGCTGCTGGAGGCAGTGTTATGGTGCAGAGAGTCAATGGCTCACTCGCTGTTTCCAGGGCACTTGGGGATTATGAGTATAAAAATGTACAGGGACGTGGACCCTGTGAGCAACTTGTGTCCCCAGAGCCTGAGATCTTCGTCAGGGATCGTGATGCACAGAGTGATGAGTTCCTGGTGCTTGCGTGTGATGGCATCTGGGATGTCATGACTAATGAGGATCTCTGTGATTTTATTTACTCCAGACTACTACTCACTGATGACTTAGAGGCTGTTACCAATCAAGTTATTGATACTTGTCTTTACAAGGTTTGTCCATTTTTTTTGGGATTAATTACAATTAATTATGAATTTTTGGTTGAATTTCAAAAATCACAATAAGTGCATTTTTTTCGGCGCCAGTTTTCTTTTCGATATCTCGGAATTGAAGGGAGATAACGAAATTTTTGTAGATACCTTTTTTTTAGCTCTCATTTTTTTCATTGAAAAATATTCCGGTGAAAAATTCGGTATGTGCATTCAGTGACGAGATATTGGATGAAAAGTGGTCTCGAAAAATGTGCATATCGAGTAATTCGGGGTTTTGACTTATATAAATAATTGTAATAATAAATAATAATTTAATTACAGGGCAGCAGAGACAATATGAGCATAGTACTAGTGACATTTCCAGCAGCACCAAAGCCAAGTGCCGATGCACAAAAGAAGGAGGCGGAATTAGAAATGGCTATCGAGAGGCGAATCAAAGGTTCAATGAATTTGAAATACTCACGTTCGTTATTGTCTCTGTGTTGTTGTGTTTACTCGAGGAATTGTTCGTCTAATAGAGAGTGATTCATAACAGATTCGAATTCATTTGAGAATAAACGAGAGTGATAACTCGAGTGGAATTATCTGACGTGCTCTGGTTGATAAAAAAAAAAATTCAATGTAAAATATTCCCCAGAATATTTCACGAAAGGTGACAGAAATGAAACCCAAAAAATTGTGAATCGTTTTATTTATCATTTATTAATTTCTTCGGATACACGAATTGTTAATAGTTTAATTATTAATTGTGGATTGATTTAATCGTTGAGATGATTATTCCGTTGAATGGAATTTCAAGGAAAATTCCAGTCAGTCCATCGGTATAAAAAGAAATTAAGTAGTTTAACGAGTACATTGAGATCATGATTTAATTGACTTATCTGACTCATTCATTGTTTCTGGTAGAAATTGTGGAGCAGCAGGAGGGAAAAGATGGCTTTGATTATCTCCAGTTAGTTCAGCTCCTCGTAGATCAGGATCTGCCAAATTTACCTCCAGGTGGTGGTCTTCCAGCAAAGTGAGTACCAAAATTATATTAATTACTAATTAATCTAAAAATAATAATTGTGAATCATACCTCGGGTTTATCCGGATAATCAATTGATTTATTTATTAATTATTCATGGAAATTGGGAAGACACGAGTTGAAAGAAAAATTGACACTTTTCTCACCGAGAAGTTCTCAGGACTGATTGTCTATCTGAGATTTTCAGAATCTTGAAATAAAGTTTATATAAGTACCTCTTCACGTTCAAGTGTAAAGTTTGAGGAAAAAAAGAACTGGCTCAATTCCAACGAACATAATTAGAAATATTCTGCAATGTCTGGTAATTGGAAGAGCTATACGACACGTGTCCTTGTCCCAGTAATTGGATTTCTCCTGAAAATTCCGTAATTATCGCCAATAAATTATTTACGATCTTCTCACTGCCAGGAATAATTCTAATAAAAAATAATCACGATCTGGTATAATGGAGTGTCATTTTTTCAATTTAATTTCACGTTTGTCAATTAATTTGTTTCAGACAACTCCTGATTGAACAAGTTTTTCGCGAAGTATGCCCCAGCAGAGCGAAGAGCGTAAGTCTCAAATACGATTATCCCTCAACCTAACAAAATTCAACGCCGTAATCTCAATAACATCGTCTAGAGCAAAACGCAAATGAATAAAAACAAATCTAAACAATTATGAAAAGAAAAAAAAGAAAAAAAAAACAAAAGTGAACCCTAGACTTCAGGACGAAGTACTGTTTTAATTCATTGCACAATTCCTACACACTCACTCGATGATATTTTAATTCGTTGATTGATAGGGTAAAATTATGCAAGATTTTTAATAGATTCATTCCTCTTTCCTTTATTTTCACTGTAGTGCATTGTGCAATGTTATGAGAGACATTCTATGAATAATGTAAAACTGATTGAGGATACGAATTAGACACTATCGTGGAAGATTGAAGGTGAATGATTATTGTAAAAATAAAAATCAATTGTTTAGTGGAGTCTCCTTCAATCCTCTGGATTACAGATACTACCAGTCATTCCATTTTTCTATTACATGCATTTCTTTTAGTTTCTTTTTGCTTCTGTGGCGTTAATATTTAACGATTCGTTGATATAATCTGCTGCTGCTTTATTATCAAATCCAGTTCTGGGCTTTTCGTTATGACCAGCGGATTCCATTATTTTCCATTATTTTCCTGTCGATTGAATTCTTTTAGTTTCGTTTTTGTATCATTGTTTAAAAACGAGGGGTTGGATCCGATGGATATTTTTTATTTGAACGCGTCATTCAAGTGGATTTTCAGGATCTAGACTTAAGATCTAGACTTAGGAATTCATTGGACGACAAACGGTTGTACTCGATTTTTTTTCTCATTTTTTTTCTGGGCTATGTACATAGGTTTACACGATTTTTTTTGTTATCACACTGGCGATTATTCGTAATGAGTATATGTGTACTTATAATGATATATGGGGGATGGAGAGATGCATAATTCATAATCGAATTATTTTAATGCAACTTGCAGGTTTCATTTACAAATTTAATTAAAGTGAACTGTCAGTGGCCTCGGGTTTTGTGGAATATCTCGGGATCTGTCGGAGATATCGGAATCGGTAGAGGAACTTTTTTGTAGATTTTTTTTCACTCTCCAAAAAAACATTTTACGAAATTTTCACGATTTTTCATAGGTGCCGAGATATTCCCCGAAAACAAATCCTCCGTTTGAGTTGAATCAGTAGACATCAATCTCAGGAAGGATTTCGTTTTTTGTGAATATCCCCGAACCTATGGGAGATGACGAAAATTTTTGCAGAAACTTTTTTGAAGATCTTTCGTCGCTCTGCAAAAAAGTTCCCACGATGATTTCTCTATCGTCGCTAGATTCCAAGATATCGATGATAATTGTCGAATGTTTCGAGATCGAATGGAATCTTTTCTCTCCACTGCAGATTTGAATTCCAAAATGACCGATTTTTTATTTTAACATTAAAAAAAAAAGAACAACTTGTAATTCTGTACATAAAACACAGCATTTGCATGTACATGTCGTAATCCTCTCGATTTCACACTAATTAACAATTAAATAATAGAGACAATGGGATTTAATTTCAATTGATAAAATAATAAAAATCCCTCACATGCATTTATTTTTTCCCAGATTAATTTATACCGATTAATTTGTTACAAGGATGTTATAAATAATTGTAACACCGGTTGACATTAAAAATTCATTTTTTCAGTGAAAAGTGTGAAAACGACAGACGAAAACACAAAAAATCATAACGATGAAACAATAATAATCCTAAGAATATCGAGAATATCTGTAATAGGACTAGAACCTAGAATAAATCACGATGATTGTAACAATAATAATTGAACGGGTTTGAATTCTCATGCCAAATGTGATAAATAATACGTAAAACCGATCTTATTTCCCACCCCCTCCAAAAAAAAATTAAATCAGTCACTGCATCCTTCATGTCTCACGAGAAATTGTAAAAAAAAAAACCCCAAAATACTTCTAGAATTACGACATCACAATTTCAGGGCAGAAATAAATTTCGTTGATAGGATTTTATTAAATATCCAGGCATACGTATTTATTTCCCATTAATCCTCATTAACGATTAAATTTTAAGTATTAACGAACTCCTGTTGATCCTCTAATTCCTTCTGTTTTCTTTTTTTTTTTTCTCCTCTATTCCTCAGATATTGATGACGCAGTTTGTCAACCCCTTCGAAACGGAACAGCAGAGTTCATTTTTAGATAAACTTCGAGAAAACTGTCAATTCGCTGAGTCCAATGATTGAAGTCCTCTTTTCATTTCTCTCATTTCTGTCCAAGAGATCGGATTTTAATGACAAGTAATATCAATTATTTTCTGTGTGCTTTATAAATTCTCCTGTTTCATTTAATTATCTGGAAATAATCAATGTATTTCAATAATTTTGTTATTAATTCTCTGGATTTATTTAATCTGATATTCCAACGTGTGGAAAGGATAAATAATGGAATCAACAGTTTTAGGTATTTTATATCATTTATTCTCGTGGCAACATCATTATTTTATTGTTCAGTTATTAATTGATGATTTTTAATGCGTCGATGTGAATTGAATTGAAAAAATAGTTGTGTCCCATTGGATGCGGATATACAGAATATTTTGTGTACGTTAAAAAATACCTATTTACTTATAAAAATGAATGAAACGACAAAAAAATAATCACGATCCATTGATCGCTGGTGTTGTTGTACATAATGTGTATAATAATTGATGAAATATCTTTTTTGCAGTATGAAAGATTTTTTTTTTTCTTCTTTTCGGTGCCAAAGGGTTTTTGGTCCACAGGGGTGGGACAGATTCTCGTGCCAACGGTTTATCAATCTTTTTTCTTTCTTTTATTTATTGTAATTGCAGTGTTTTACATGTCTAATATCTTCGCATGTTTTAGAAATTTTTATGTTCGATTTACTCGGCTGCGCATTCAGTAATTATTAATAATGAGAGAATTATCGCTCGCCACCCACCCTTGAACATTTTTATAATGTTTATTTGATTGAATTATTTCGGGGGATATGTGGATTCATCTTGGGAGGCTCGACTGACTTTCGTCATTCATTTCGTCGTTCAATTTGATTTGTTAATTAATTTATTGAAGAGATAATCTGCAAAAGAAGAAATTCTACTCCGAATTTTTCAGACTTCTGTTAATCACGGTTTATCTCGAGATCTATTGATTTTCGAAGGAAATGTTGTAGAACTTTTTTTCTAGATTATCAAATTTCCAATAAAAAAAGATATCTGAGATTTTCTTGTAAAATCACCGGTTTCGGAGATAAATCGGTATTCATCAGGATTTTAACATTTGTCTTTGATGTGAAAAGTATTTTTATTTGCAACTTGAATAAACAATTGGGAAAAAATCGAGAGATGATTTTTTTTCATGATTTTGAATGAGGGAGGGAGAGGGAGAGATTTTTTTTGGAGGTAATTATGAATTAATAAACTGGAACGGAAATTTTTCAGTCGAGGCTCCACCGATGAAAAAATAATGAATTGCTCTCTAATGCTGCTCCACGCTGGAATAATTAATAAATAAAATAAACAATCCGAGTTGACGAAAAAAAAAACAAATGTCTCATATGCTTACAGACATCTGAAGCGAGTTAGTCTATGAATTTTTATACGTGTTGCTGACAACAAACAAAAATGTATTAATCGTAATAATAAAATGAGGAAAAATATTAAATAAATCACATCAGCCACAACACAACGGAGTACTTCACGGTGTAATGAACAGGATAATGAGATAATGATAATAATGAATGAACAATGATTGTACAAAGTAGATCTAAGTGTTAATCGTGGATAAACTTACGAAATAAATGAGGAAATTAAAAGAATCTATGAAAATTCGTATTTATAACAGCTCCTGGATTATTTTGCCTTTTCCACCAGTCAGGTAGGTTTATTTATAATAAATTATCAATTATTTATACTAAACAATAAATATTTCTTGTTGTCGACTGCAATTTAGAATTTTTCTGGTAGAATTTCGTATTTTTAAAATATTTTTCGGAAATTCATAACTGAAAATAAAAAATTCACGTGAATAATTAATAATTAATTAATTTTAAATAAACAATTTGTCTCCAGTGACATCTGTTTCTCTTTGTTGGTGGGTGATTAGGAATGTTGCTAGGCAACGGAGATATAAACAAAACTTGACAGTGAAATTGAATGAAATCGAGAGTTTATTTCTCCCAGGGGAATAAACAAATAGATAAATTGTCAAAACGTCAATAATAAATATGACAGCCTGCTGTCAGAGTTATTTACCATTAAAGAGTTCAGGTACATATTCATTAATTAATTTATTTATTAATTAAAACTCATTTCGATTTATTCCGTCCAAATCTTCCGCATTTCCTGTTGAATAACAATTTCATTTTTTGTTCATCAATAAATAAATAATAGTTACTAATCAATTGATAATTAATTCATTAGTCGCGTCATAAAACATTGAAACAATGTAATAAATCAATATTTCGATGAAATATTGACGAATTAATGAAATAATTGCGAGAAAATTGATGAATTGATGAGAAAAAAAATTGGAATTGAATGCGCGATAAAATCCAATTGTTCAATAAATTATTCTAGTGTACAACCAGAGGGGTGAGAATTATTTTCAACAATTGGGAGTTTACAATCACATGAGCACTCACCTGCGAAGAGTTATCCAAGCAAAATGTGTCGTCGATTCGAAAAATTCTCGTTACATGAAAAAAAACGAGTCGTATAAATTCCTGAGAGGAGAAAAATCTCTCCACAAATGCCAATCCTGCGATAATATCTCAAGGTCAGCCCGAGGCTCGCAGTACTGCCTAATTGTACGTAATTACACCCTCAATAATTAATTACTTCAATTTCCAATTATCCTAGACCCATAAATTAAATCAGTCAATTACAATTACGAACTAACCCTGAAAATTATCATTAAATTAATTATTCAAGAGTCGGTTAATAGGTAATTAATTAATTGTAATAATTATTATTATTCATCGAAATAGAATAGAAATAAAAATTTTTAATTGTATTAATTAATTTCCTGTGAATCTGATATTTCTGATATTTAAATGACAAAACACTTGAAACTCTCCCTAGGACATGTTAAAACCTTCTCCTGGGATAAACAAAGGCTCTTCGAAGTCCCTGGTGTCGTTGAAGAGCCAGAAATCCTCGAAGTCTTCGAAGTCCTCGAAGTCCTCGACCTTGAAGCCCTCAGTGCACGTAATTGAGCCCGAAAAATCGGAAAATCCCGGGAATTCCGACTACGATTCGAGTTTCGAGGGCTCAAACGCCTCCGAGGATCGATCCTCAGTCCCCCAATCCCCGAAATTCCCAACCCCATCACGAACTCGTAAAAAACAGCTGGTGGACCTGAAGTACCTGAAATTCCTCCACGAGATCACTCAGGAAATAATAAAAACTGGAGTCCACAGGGACGAAGAGATCAATAATATCTGCAAGAAACATTTCACCAGGAACTTGTCATCACTGGATAAAAAAAAAATGAAGAAAAATCTCCAGGGGTTGAGGCAATCCCTGGGGATTCCTGAGGACGAGGAAAACGAGAGTGACGAATCGAGTGAGAGCTATTCCTCGAGGGGAAAAAATAGTACAACCCCCAGGAGCGAAAAGTCTGACAGGGAAAAAAGAGAGAATGACTCTGGGGCATCGCAAGACGAGTCAGACTGGCAATCTGAAATAGAATCAGTCATCAGTGATGATTCAACTTAGTAAATTTATTTTAGAACTATATTTGTTATATTCTTTCTATGTACAGAGGTCATGTGTTCAGTGGTAAAACGAGATATAGTGTATGTAAAAAAATAAAAGCATTTTTTATATCTAAATGGTTAATTACTAATAATTAATTGCCATTTCTGTCGAGACACTGGGAAAAAATTTTCTCATGCCGAAATTCCACGGATTTACGACTGGATTTTAATTGTGTTATCACAATTGACGTAATTATCATAGAATAATTATATTCATTCTTCCAGAAGATATAATTTCACTGACGAAATGGAATTTAGAACATTTTTTTCCCAGTGCATTTGCTACTGATGTTTCTTGTGTCTTATTTACTGCATTATATTTTCAACATTTTATCGAGAATTCGTACTACTCTGGGTAATTATTCTGTACATTAAAGAAGAATTATGCAATTATCATCGAAGTGGCAAAAACTTGAGGAGAGATATCCGAAAATGACGAAAAAACTGCACATTACCAGAATTCAAGATTTCAAATTAGCTGCCACTTCTTAAACAATTACTGATTATTAATTAACTGATTGGGCACTTTTGGTAGAATTCTAATGCCTAAGTAATCTAACTATTCCCCTGAAATATAATTGCCTCATCTGAAGCGATATGGCTACAACTGGAATAGAATTCGACTATTGCAGTTTTTTTTAAATAAAAAAAAAGTGATCAGCTGCCATCAGAGGCATTGGAGGACGAGTCCTCGAGTTCAGGTGCATCAGGTCGTTTATTCAGGATTCCCATGAGATCTGTCACGTGTTTTATCGTATAATCAGGTTTTGGATCGTCCACAGATGGTCGAGTTTTGTCTGTCAGAGGAATCCAGACAGTTCCAGCTAATCCACTCTCAATTCCTCCTTCAAAATATCAATTCTTAATTAATACCACATGCATATCTAATTTATTAATTATTAATAATACCTTTGATGTCACTCTCCAATTTATCTCCAACCATGATGCAACTGCTGGGGCGTACACCCAGGGATCGACACGCCTCGAGGAAGATCTCCACCTGGGGCTTCTCCCAGGGGAGATCCCCAGAGACGAGGACGATGTCAAAGTACGGCGAGAGCTCCAGTCTCGTGATTTTTTCCCTCTGGGCACTGGAGGGCCCATTGGTGATGAGTCCTAACAGGTACTTCTTCCTCAATTCCACGAGCATCTCCACGGTATCAGGTGACATTTTCAGGTAGTAGTACCTCAGGTACAGCCATCTCTCGTATATCTTCGTCGTGATGTGGGAGTACTTCTGCCCCAGGGCTTTTGCCCACAGGGATGACCTCCAGGTATCCAAATCGTAGGCGGAATTGTCCGGGCATTTTCGAAACTGCTTTAGATAATTCCCGGTGATTTTCGCTGCTGTCTCTTGGGGGATATTATACAGCAGTGTCAGTTCCTCGCTCAACTAAATCATTCAATCAAAGTAACAAGAATAAAAATTATTGTTTAATCGCCTCAGGAACTCGATAACACTGGAAACAATTCACTAGCCAAGAGATTGAGATGTGAGTTGGAGTTTTCGGGGAATTCCTCGGAATCTGGTGGAGATATGGGAATATTCATCTGAACCTTTTTTGTAGAGCCGAATTTGGACCATAAAAAAGGTGATAACAAAAAAATCGATATCTCGATTGGATTCGGAGATATTGGACCAAAACTCGAGGATTTTCTCTTCGCTTTTGAATTTCATTCGACTTTCCATTCCTATTTCGATGAAATACGAACGATTCAATCGAATTTCTCTCCAGTCGTATTGTCTTTGATTAAAAAAAATAGGGTGTAATGGATGACTTAATGCTTTAGATGGATTACCTATGAAAATTTGCACTTTTCACTCAATTGAACTAGTCGTGACGATTTATTGAACACGTGAAGACTAGCGTCCGTGGAGTTGCTGTAATCACAACAAAATGAGTTGTGCCAACAACAGTCTCAACAATTTTTCTCAATCAACAAATTGTTCCCACAACAGGAGACCAGGGCACATGATTAATGATAATCAGGGATTGCGAAATAACAGAACACGTTATTTTAGAAAAACAAATTGTTTTTATGCACTTTAATTAAAAAATTACGCTACATTTTCTCCACAAATCGCTTATCCAAATGTCAAAAGTACATATTTATTTATTAATATTGAAAAAATAACGGATGTACACCCCAGGCTCTTCATTTATTTTTGGTACTCGTAAATTCAATTCAATCCGACGAATATCTTCAACACTTTCTATTCCAATTCCACTTTTTCCACTTTCTTTATTTTTCTATAAAAAATTATACTGAAAAAAATTCCCCTCAAATAACCGATATTTTCTGATCTATTAAATAAAAAAAAAAACCGCCAGAATTTTCAAATCTTTTCAAATCTCTTCTTAAAAATCAGAATTTACTCGAGAAAACGACATTTCCCCGATTTCGATGTCCCCCCGAAAAAAAATTAATGAACAAATGATAAATGCCTATTTGTACATCGACCCTCGAGAAAAAGTAGCTGCACGTATGCCCCCCCCTCTCAATCCCCGAAGAGGCTCTTGCCAAGTTCCATCATCCGATGATTCCTGCAGACAGTGAGTGCCCCATTTTTCTTGAGTACCGAAACAACATTGGCATCAGCCTTGACAAGATGACAAAGTAAATCCTCATAAGCAGATTTGACATTAGGAGGTAGAGATCCAATCCTGACCTTCTTGAGTACCTCAATCATGCCCTCAATCCACTCTGACTCAATAGCGAATTCGGTGAGCCAGGGGATAAGTGAGAATACCCCAGCCATGGTCTGCATCCCGAGGAACCACAACTCCATGATCTCCATCCAGTGTTCTTTATAGAACATTGCAACAACAAGTTCAGTGGGATCACTGCTCTCATCAACGACGTAGGCATCCCAGAGAAATCTTATCGTCGCCTGGATGTACCTCCAGATGCTGAAGTCATTTTTCTTCACAAGTTTCGCCTGTTGTTTGAGTAACAGCAGACCAAGGACAGCTAGATGTCCATGAAGCACGAGATTATCACTGGTCTGCTTCAACTCAGGTAGATTATTCAGAATAAATTTGAGAATCGAGACAAATGTTGGCGATTGCTCCACGAGTTTAGCCTCGAGTACAGTAATATTCATGAGTACATTGCAGATAGATACCATGGCAGCTCTGGAGTCTTTCATTTCCTCGAGGGTCTTAGGATCGAGCTCCTTCTCAGGTTCCTTGAGTGCCTTGAGACGTTCAGCCCTCGGTACTGGTGGTTTTTTATAATGAACAATTGTCCAGTGATACGATAGACACTCGAACAACACCTCGTCCTGCTTGTGCTTGAGTAGAATCTTCCTGGCCTCTTCTTCAACAGCTAGATAACATAGAGCTGGCAGCATAACCCTGAGTACATCGACCTCACTGAGAGGATCATGATGGATATCCATGGAGGAGCACTCGTCAGACCTAGCCCTTGCTTTCTCCGAGAGTCTCCTATTCCTGTTGGCGTAAAACGTGTCATTGGCGACTGTCAGGATGAATGGGAGAATGGCGTAGACCTGGGGTCTCATGGCAGACGTCTCCTGGGCTAGCCAGGCTGCGAGAACTCTCACCATAGCGCAGACAAAGACTCGTTCCTTGATGTCAGTCAATTCCTTCATCTTGGAGACAGACGTCAACAGACCAATGACTGCTGAGAATGCACCCTTGAGGGCTGTGTAGAGAGACTGTTTCTCCTTCTGCTCAAGATCGAGCTGATCGGTCGTTATGTACGACAGGCAGATCTCCAGGATAACGAAACAAGATGTGATGAGTTCACCACTCTGGACAACAGTCTTCAATTGTTTGCCCTCCAGCTGCATCCTGATCTCGATTGATGCCAGTTGGATGAGCATGAGGAAGAGAACTTTTGGCTTATCCTCGTCCATGACTGCCCATTCAGCTCCGAGAACCTCCAGGATGGCGGAGGCGAGCTTGAGGGCGGGATCTCTCTGGTTCTTTCCAATCTTCGAGCAGAGAATATCAGAGAGGCCCTTGTGGAGACTCTGGGGCCAGGATTCCTCCTTGCAGCTGTCAGCGACAGCCTCTTTTCTGCAGGATGACAGGAGTGCCTGGAGAATGGGGCACAGCTGGAATTTACGCTCTGAGTGATCTGTCTCGAAGTCCAGGGCGATTTTATTGAGAATTCCGTGGAAGGGGGAGGTGTCTAGGGCGTCCCAGGCCTCAGGCCCCAGGTGGCTCACCAGGGCTACGAGGATATTCAGGGCTTTGTCCGTTTGAAAACTCTTCTCCGAGTAGATCTCACACATTTTGGGAATAGCTTTCTCTTCCAGGAGGGCCTTCTGACCTGGGGGATGCTGGGCTATTGCTTCCAGGACGGTGTACGCCTCGCTCACTGCTATCAGATTGTCGTCTGACGCGTCCTCTTCACTCTGCGACACCATCGCCAGGAGACCTGGCACCTGGACTATCATCTCCTGGTGGGAGGCAAGCTCTGGCTCCATGCAGAACGCTGAGAGGATCGATAAAGCCACCGATTTACACACCTGGGGTGGACAATCCACTGGTACTTCATTGCTCAGCAATAATTTCTTCAGGAATTTTGAACCTATCGCCTCGAAGAGGAGTTTCTTCGCCTCGACACTGCACTCTTTGTCCACCAATTTTGTCACCATAAAAAGTGCTGCGAATTTCTCTGAATCACTGCTCACCATCTTCAGAATTGATACACATTTCATCACACCCTCTGGGATACTCATTTTTTTTTTTTAATGGGGATTTTTGGTATTTCGGTGGAGATTCTCGTGGAGATTTTCGTGGAGAGTCAGGATATCACTGGCACCACTCCCAATCCTCTCGGTGATGACTAGCCTTGCCCTTTTGACACTCTAGATTTATCTCTTTGGTTTGGTCTAAAATTAATTCTGGGAATTTGCCACCTGAAATTCACCCAGGAAATCCAATGACTCGGTGGCACTCCTCAGCACTCAGAATTTATTTATTTTATTTAATGACGATGTTTTTTTTTTGAGGGGCTTGGGGAATTCTTTGTGATGGACCTGAGGAGACTGTTACCACGGAGTTTATCCCACCATTAAAGTAGAGATGCGATGTGCAAGTTATTTTGAGATGCGTCTCGGATTACACGATTCTATTTTTGGCTGGCGATGTGGGGGAACTTCAACTGGGATTTTCTTGGGGGGGTATTTATTGTTATGATCCACTGGGTAAATATCACAGTATTACGAAAAATAGTGGTGAATTATGGAGTAATTATCAATGGATTCTGTACCTTTTTGCATGCTAAACAATCACCCTTTCGTGTTTCTATGAGGGTGTTGTCCAGGTCGAAGAGAATCGTTGTGATTTCCGAGGTTCTGGTGCGATATGCCATCGGGTCAATCTTCGTAATCGACGTATTCACCTGTTGTAGGAGAGATTTTAATTAGTTAAAGGTTTTTTTTCGGGAGGATCTTTGTTTTTTTTTGGTACCTGGTGCCAGTGCGTTCTTGAGGTTCCAGAGACTTCTGCACGTGTCGTATGGCATGCAATTGGTGGAAGAAACCGTTGGATGAGTGGGCAGTGTCCTTGGGGGACGTGTGACGGTCAAACATAAAGTGACGTGTTTCCTCAATCGTTAATCATTCGAGGTCGAGATTATTTCCTCGTTGTGTACTCTCGTCAGCTGACACTCAGGGATTAACCTACGAAGGCAGGGGAGAGGCTTTCAAATAACTTCAGGTTGTTTGGAGGTGGTTTTTGTGTCGTCAGATAGCGCTTTGAAATTCATTTCCCAATTTTATGAGAATGATAATTGATTTTTCGATAATAAGTGATTAATACACATAAATCATTCGAAAAAAAAATTAGCCAATTTTTTTACGATTTATTTCATTTATTCGAATGTTTTATTTTAGCAAATTTGAAATTATTAATCATTTTTTATCAGAAAATGTTACAAAAAATTGTTCATAATAAATATAAGTGGGAAAATATAAATAAATATTGAAATATTGAGAATGAATTTCCGGGGGAAATGGGTATTTGATGAAATTAAATTTTATTTCTGAAGTATTTGAATTGACCGCGAAAATTGTGGCGCGGTAGATGCGACGCAGTGGATTTCTAGTGTGGCACCGGCGAAGACGGCGTGTTGTATTATCCTGGTGAATTTCCAGGGCGAATGCCATAAGAATTGAATAATCTGACAATCCGATTGAGGAGATAAAGAGGATTGAGAAATGGATTCGATTCAAGCTGGTGCACTCTCTGGTGCTGACAGAGAAGAATTCATGCAGGAGGTGAAACAGCAAATTGCTGTTGCCAATGCCCAGGAGTTGCTCACGGTGAGGAATAATTGTTGCATAATTTTTATTCATCCGAGGGAATTAATTGATAATTTTTTCGATTTCATGGCAGAAAGTCACGGAGAAGTGCTTCAAGAAGTGCGTCACAAAGCCAGGAACTTCCCTTGACAGCTCTGAACAGGTGATTTTATATCTTAACCTCAAATTTTTATCGTGATGATGATGACGAAATCCTCTGCATTTTTTTTATGTTAATCATTATTTTTAATGCTATCTAACATTTTTAGACAGTTGTAAAATTTAAAAAATCTTCAGTAAAATTGAAAAACCGGCGGTCTTCGGAAATATCTCCGGATCTAGGGGAGATATCAAAAATTTTGTAATGACCTTTTTTGTAGCCCTCAATGAGTGCGAGAAAAAAGATCTTAATAAAAATTTCACTATTTCCCTTGGATTCGGAGTTATCTCCAAAAAAACGACGCGATTTGGTCACTGAAATCTCAGAATTTATTCACATGCAATTGAACGTCCGAAAAATGTGTAATTAATTAATAATTCCGTCTTGGAAATTGATTTCATTGAGTTTTCCTTTCAGAAATGCGTGGCAATGTGTATGGACCGATATATGGATGCATTTAACGTCGTCTCGAGGGCGTACAGCCAAAGACTACAGAGAGAACGTAATCGAATGTAAATAGAGGAAATCAATTGACAAATTGTAAGGGACGGGGTCTATTATTCACTGGAGGCTGAATAAAAATTGTTGAATTGTAAAAGAAAAACTGTCACTGCCTGAAAAAAAATATATAACTGCCACACAAGTGGAAAATTCGACAAAATCTCAACTTTTTTAGTTTAAGAGAAAAATTATAGCGATTATCTGTAAATACACTGTTTTATTTCAGCTGAAATTACAATCATTACAATGACCTTTACAATTACACTCGTAGGAACAGCATCGTTAAATCTACCAATTGTTTGCACACAAATTCTTAAATAAATCCAAATAATTTCCACGCGTTTAATATTTTTCACTGTCCTGACTCTTCCAAAAACTCCAAAAATCGTGGGAACGCCAGATAAATTTCCATAAAAAAAAACTGACATCTCAAGACTCATAAAACCCTTGAATATTTTGATTGATTATTTTTCAAATATCAAAACAAAAACAATTGACCAAAAATAGAGAAAAGAAATTTATGTACAAGAGAGAATTCTTAAAATTACAATTTCCATTCTTAAATACTCTTACAAATATCAATGAAACCCAAACGAACGAGCAAACTATAAAAATCCAATTCTTCACAATCAATTTAGTCTATCCCCTGAACAATTAAGAGAAGAGAAAAAAACAATTCGTAATTATTCGCAGTTTCACGTTGTTCAATGATTAATTATTTCAGAATCTAATATGCTAAAAGGCACAATATATCTACCAATAATTCAACGTGGTTACGATACGATAATCTGGAGTGAAAGAATAAATTCATGGGACCGAGTGAAAAAGACAGAACAACTGTAATACTTGAAAAAAAATTCGTGTACAAATCTTCAGTGAAAAATTCACGAGAAATAATCGTAAGTACGTTCACCTTAAAAAATCTACAAGAAAAAATCTCAAAAAATTGCAGAGAACAAATTGCTTTTTTTTTCAAACGCAAAGAAATTCTTAAACTATTTCCCCTTAAACCTATCATGAAAATACAATTTATTTTACATTTTAAACTCATTCACAAACTGAAGAGCTGTTATTTATTGGAATGTTACACCTTAAAATCTAGCGAAAAAATATACAGTTACACGTGGGAATGTGAAAATGCAGTCCTGAATAAATTCCTTGTTATTGCTTTTATCTCGATTATATTATTTTTATCTGTAAAAATAAATGACTGATTGTTTCATGAGATGTAACCACGCTGATTGGCCAGGAACACCTGTTATTTCATTATTATTTATTCAATGAATAATCATTTTGATTCCAGTAATTAAGAGGTGAAAATAATTCCCGCCACTCCATTGAATTAAAATCGTTGATTACCACTCCTCAATCACTGAACGTTAAATAAATCAATTGGCATTCGTCGAAACTCGGATTTTCCCAGATTGTTCTTAATTTTTTTTTTATTAAAAAAGTGCAGCCTTTTGTGGAATAATTGATTTGTGGTTTTGAAGCTTTAATTTGCCCTTTTTTAATTAAACAAATTGCCATACTCTCATTAAATTACTGTTTTTGATTACATTTTCCAAGTGGAATGAGGAAATTACCGCCCAGTCACTGACAATTCCTTTTTTTATTCAATAAAACTCCTCACTCCACTTCACGTTAATTATCATTCGATTGTACTAGTCTCATTAATTAATTACTCAATAATGGATTGCCCAAAATAATTAATTGGCTGTGTGAATCCATTTTTATTTTTCAATTGTTCATTGCTCCGAGGAAAATAGACAAGCATTTAAATCAACAGTCATAGAAAATTTTCCATTAATTATTCAAATAGCACCATTTCAGGAAAAAAATAATTAGATTTATTACTCGTTCGTTAAAAAACACTTTTCATTATTTATCGGCAATCCATTCTCGTTAGACGGATAATTTACTGGTGTCCTAGAACACCATAGCAGTAACTTTTATTTATTTTTGCAGTTATTAATTGGTGAAACGTAATTGTCTATTATTTTTCTTCTCATTTTTTGCCAATCAAATTGAAAAAATCGACTAGTTTCTTCAATTCATCGCTCTCCCGTTACGTTCCACCACTTAATCACCGACTTATTCACATTTTTAATTAGAAATGAGGTAATACATATAACAGTCGTAGGATAATATGCATTAATGGTGGAAATGGTAATAAATTAACAGAAAAAAAATGCATTTTCGACGTTTGAGTTCGAAATTTCCCTCTTTATGATCCTCATAATAAAATAATAATTATATTTAAATAAATCAATAATTGTTACAATAATAATATAGTAATACTAGACGCACTCGGTGAAAAAATGAAGAAGCAATCCCCAAAAATTTTATCTCTCAAAATTCCAGAGTGAAATACCGATGAAAATTTCGTCATTTCACTTCGCAATTTACCGTAAATATCATCTCTTGTGGCTTTATCTTTCGGAAAAAATATTTTTTCATTGCTTTTTATATAACATCAGTATCTTAACACCTACAAATTGTTGTACAAAAATATTTTCAACATGTTTTCAATATCTGGAATCACTTCAACTGTACAAATGCTTCAGGGAAAATTATCGATTGAAAAATTAAACTGTCCGGGGGATTTCCACTTCATAAATTCACACTAATAACTTAGCAACGATTATTGAGCCACATCTGGCAGTGTCTTATCTCCAGTGTTCCATAAAATCCCGATTAATCCATGAAATGCAAAAAAAAAAAATCATCCCTTCGACATTTTGAGAAATAAAATTCGAATATTCACGCAGAAATTGAATTTAATGACTTGAGTTTATGAATCAGTCGTTTCCACTGATAAATTAACGAATTCCTCAACTTTCAACATCGAAATGTCGAATTAATAGATGAGATTAATCAAGAGGTAATAGACATTAGTGTGGATTTTTATTGTTTAATAATCAGTGGTCAATGGCAAGACGATTAATTAGACTGATAATCGCTCGTTTAAAAAATAAATTAGTCGACCTGCGACATGGCTCGTGAATGCATGGAGATGATTGTTTCAAATGACAATTGGATCACTCACGCATGAGACATTTGCGCTGAGTACTTCATCCTCGATTTCCTCGCTGATCTCCTCGCTCCTCGCACTGTTGCTCTTCTCGTCCTTCTGATTTTTAACCCCTGGGGATTGACTGGGATTTTTATCACTGTCTTTAATGGGACTCGCCTCATTGGCACTGCCCGATGCCGAGGATGCGAAGTCTTCCTCGTAATTATCTACACCCTCGCCAGCTGAAAAATTTTATTTGCCCTCTATCACGAACTGATTACATTTTATTAAAAATAATTTTTAAAGTGAAGTTATTTTAATTAGACGAATGAATAAGGAAAATAAAGAACTCACCGAGTCCCATATCCATGAGCTCCTTGAGATCATTGATATTCGTTTTCTTTCCATTGAGTGGTGGTAAATCAGTGAAAATCGAATTACCTCTGGCACCAATCGGTGGCAAATCCCCAAGCAGTGATTCCCTCCTACCACCACCACCTCCAACTCTCTCCCTCTTTCCATCAACAATAATCTCGTCGAAATAAACAGTCTTACTAAAATTATTCTCCCCATCAATTATTCGATTTTGAGCATTATTCGTATTTTGTATTTCCACATCCTTTCTCAATTTTAATTTACTCATTTCCTCATTACGTCCACTGTCACCTATTGTTTCATCGAATTTTAGGAATTGTTCACTCTCATTCAGTGAATTGTCCTTGTCCACTGGGCAGTCGTCGGCTTTTTTATTATTGTTACCAGTTACAGTCGTATTTTCGATGCTAGTACTTTCTCTCGACGATTCGTGTCGCAATTCACACAACGATTTATCGATCGCTGAATTGCTGGACGTTTTTGGATTATTCGGCTCTGCATTAGTGATTTTTTTGTCGGTTATTGTCACGTTTATTGGAATATCCTGGCTCATATCTGATACTGTCTCCCCTTTTTCGGATGAGTCGTTGTCGTTTGAGAATGAGGGCGAGTCTTTGTGAATGATTTTTGGTACTTTAACTTCGAATGTTGCGTTGTTGGCTGATGTATCGGTTGTTTTGTTCAGTCTGCTATCGTTTGAGTCATTCTGAAATTAATTGCATGGTTTAGAAGGATAATTATGAGTGTTTATTTTTTTGGAGGCATTTTTTTGGGAAAAATTTGGAGTAGTTGCCTTTTCAGAATTATTGAAGGCACCATTGATGCTGTTCTTCAGCAGCTCCCCGAGCAATGGTTCCGTCGTACTTATTCCCAACTTCTCGCACAATTTATTTCTACCGATGTAATTGTACTCCTTCCCCACGTACGTCTCTGGATCGTAAACTGAAATCGTGTAATCCAATGCGAAATATTCTAGAAACTCTCTAACTAACGAAAATAGTAGTTTTCCTTCAGAGTTTGACAGGTACTGTTTAACGGTTTTGTTGAGAAGTGGCTCAGGGTTCTGAAATTACAAAATAAATTCAATTTTCCAAAATTTCGTTTATAAAAAACGAAAAAATATTCACGGAGTAAAAGAATTCCTTCAAAAATCAAATAAAGGATCAATTATTGCAAAATATCTCGAGATTTGGCTGCCGCACAAAAAAATTCTCTTCTACAAAAAAGATCCTGATGAAAAATGGCGAGTGTCTTCTCGGTTCGGAGATATGAGGGGAAATAAGAAATTGATTCTTAATATTTAGAAATCTTTTCTCACCGCGACTGACTCCTGTTCCTCAAGTGCCAAAAAAACACTGGCCCTCAGTTCCGCCTGAAAAAAAAACGGTTGATTCTAAAAAAAAATATCAAAAGACTTTTTTTCTCATAAATTTTATCAGCTTCAAAAAAGTCCTGTACAGCTTCCCTCTAAGATCGATAGTTTTCTCGATAAATCGATAATTAGTGGAGGAAGAAAAACCAAAATTATTTCCTTTCACCTTCCAAAATTATTATTTCATAAAAAATCACTGGGATTTTTTCATTTTCAATATTCTCCATCTCTCGTCTTCCTCGGGCCAAAAAAATAGTCTAATTATTCCCTTCAATTGCGCAATTAAAAATATCCGGAGAGATCGTCGAGGGGATTTTGAGTGTTTAACTTTAGTAAAAATGAAAAAAATTGTCACCCAATTTTGAGTTTACCACCGAAAAATCGAGGATCAAAAATATTTCGTGGTTCTGATACGAAATGTGCAAATTCATAACCTCAATTAATAAAATTGAATTTTCCAAGGGGACTGGAGTACTCACTCGAACTTTGGCAAGAACCCCATTATTCTCTAGTGTTTGCACGACCAAATCCCTCAATTCTGTGTCCTCCTCCATTGATATGTTGCCGTCTATCATTTTAAAAAACAAAAAATTCACCCCCTCGAATGATGCAAACGATGTAAATATTTTGGCTGCCTCCAGCCGCCTTTCCAATCACCCTGTAAATAATTATGCAGCTCGTGGATTTCATGGGGATAGCCTGAAATCCAAAATAGCCTTTGACTTTTTCGAGTTTCCAGGATCGAGAGAAAATTTCGAGGGATTTTTCGATTTTAGTCATCGATTTCTACAAAAAATGTCAACAATTACCAGATTTTTAATTTCAAATGGAAAATCAAATCTCCTGAGAACTCCCACTCAACAAATTGGTAAGCATCTACATGTAAGGTTAATTACATTATTAAACATTTTTATAATATTAATAATTTGTTGCTAATACTTGCTATTTTCTAACATTGAATTTATTTTAATTGTAGGAATTGAAATGTTTTTTGGTTTCAGTTTCTGTGAGAAATGCAGCGAAAAAAACCGGAACGACCACTCAAAATCGAGGTGGAAATTGCCGAAGACCGAAACACAGAGGATGGAAAGTCCAGGATGGGCACTACGTCCAGGCTGGGCACATCCTGGCAACACAACTCAGACCAAGATTCCATCCGGGGCTTCACGTAAATTAATTCATCCTAAAACTCACGATTTCTCCTCAATTCCCATTACCCTCACTCTTAATCATAATAGCAAAATAATCAATCAATTAATTTATTTACAGGTGGGTTTTGGGAGGAATGGGTCCCTATTTGCCATGGAAGCTGGAAAAGTCGTGGTGACATGTGAGAAAGTCGACTTGAATTGGGATCACAGCTGGAACCAGATGAACTACAGTGGACGTGAGACCCAGACGATCTACAAAAAACATTTCAATATTATCCCAGAAAAGCAGCACGACAGATTCAAACTCGTTGACACGATCTAATCACCAGTACTAATTAAATTCCATAAAAATAATAATTAGGGAATAGATAAAATTATTAAACTCTCACATTCTGCATTTATGTTATCTGCCCATTCCTTTTAATTCGTAAAAAATGGATGTTGTTTATTATTTATGGAGAATATCGTATTTTTAATTATTAAAATGGATTAGCAGTCGAATTCGCCCAGAAGAACGACTGATAATTGATCTTCTCCTCGTCCTCAGACAGGCATGCGAACACCGCAGTCTTCCTGACAGTTGTCGAAAGACGACATTGACCCACTAAATCCAATATCGACATCTCCTCGTCTCTCTTCTTGCAGTAGACGACGAACTGCGAGTGAAAAATTATTGGATCCCCTAGAAATTCAATAAAATCATTTTCAATAATCATTTTATCCCGGAAACTGCTGATCTCATGGGAAAAAATCAGAAATTTCGAGGAAAAACGTCTTTTGATATTTCCTCCTAAATTTTTTTTTAATTCAGTGATTCCCAATTATTATTTTTATTGTTACTGTCATTATTATTGTTTTCATTTTCACCTGGATACGCGAGAAAGTCCCCACCGAATTTTTCTCCTCCAGTGACGTAGAATCCTCTGGACCACAAGTCCTCGAAGACGTTGCACTTGAATTCATCCTCTGGGGTGAGGGGATAATTCCAGTCGGATCGATTTATTTCCTCGGGGAGACTCCAGGGATAGGCTGCGAGTGAATTAATAATGACGAACTAACTGAATAATTGGTTGAATTAAGAATTCATTACGAATTTTAATTGATGGTTTACCTGTGTGGGTCTGGACGATCTGATCTGCCACCTCGAGATCAACTATTTTATCCACCTCCTGGGCGAACAACTCATCCCTGTCGATGTCAATCTTCTTCAAGGCCTCAGACGTGTCCTTGTCCAGGGGTTTCTTCAATTTTTTCTTCGACGTGTCCAATCCGTACAATTTTCTCCTCTTTCCCTCGATTATTTTGTCCATCTGTAGTTCAATCTGCAGTTGAAAATATTTAATAATCTTTAGTAAACAATTACAATTATTTTAATCAGTACCATTTTGATTCTCTCCTTCTTCAGGTACTCGTTCTGCTCTTTGAATAATTTTTCTCGGTAGTTTTTTAATTTATTCACTAGAGTGTCAGTGGGTTCCTGGTGGAGAGTCTTCTGGGACACGAGTCGAGCGATTTTTTTATCCAGGAGAAGGTGAGCCTCTTCCGGACGAAGACGTAGGGGCAATCCCAGGAGGACTTCCTGTCTGGGGACTCTAGGAAGACATCCCACTAGGTTCCCGATTATCCTGTGCTCCTGGCGAAGGCTCAGCCAATCTGGAAATGATAAATTATGGAGTCAAGGAATCTTTGATTTTCTGTTTTCTCACCTTCTGCGTTCCACACGTAGACACTTCCCTTCGACAGCACCAGGTCCATCATTTTATCGACTTCTGATTGATTATCGGAATCCTCCATCGATTGTTTATCGAATTTTAACAATTATTCAATGATTATCTGAATAAATAATGAGTTATTTTAGGAGAGTAAGAATTTCCATTTTGTTCTGCATGATTATCTCGGTAAGGAGCGATCCCCGTGGAAAATGGTAAAGGAAATTTTTCTTTCAAATTTAATTTTCCATAAAAAATGTTATATAAAGTTTTTCTGTAAACCCTTTCATTGCCGAGATATTCAAAATCAAAACTCCTTGACTCATAATTACCACTCCCCAACCTCCAAAACTTCTCAAGAAACCCTGAAAAAATTATTTCCCACCCCATTACCTCCACCTGTTAACACCTGTTGTATCTCCAGTCCTCCAGGAACAATAAATAACCGCTAAGACCCTGAACTCACCCCTAAAACAGTGGAAAAAAATTAAAAACCAAAAAAAAAAACAGAAAAATTAAAAAATTACAAATAAATTTAAAAAATTCACAGATCCAATACAAATAATTCAAACTGAATATAAAAACTATAGTCGATTCAGAATATCTAAAATTCTGAAATCGTAGGGATAAAAGGGCGGATTTACCTGAAACCAATAAAAATCCCAAAAATTATGTGGAACCATTAACTTTCAATTTTTACCGCAAAAAATCACGGAAAATCGACGTAAAATCGTGGAAAAATCCGTGGAGCATTTATTTACCAACAATTCCAATATAATTTGAATCCGCCGAACATTCGCTAGTCCATTGGCCCTTCGTACATCAATAAAGTCTCATATAATTACGTCATGTGTGTGTTAGTCTGAATTTTATCGCGTCGCCTTCACGCGTCCAACACTTCTCCCAAAAAATGTCAAATTGATCTGAAATATTGACAATCCATCGGTGAATTTTATCGAGCAAAATGTCAGTCATTGGTACGTACGATTTTCCCCGGATTTTGGGACTTTTTGGGCTTCAGGGAGGACCCGGGGCCTTTGATAGTCGACATAACCTCATATTAATGCAAACAACTGAGAAATTCTGAATTTATCTCGGGGATTTTGATATCTTGGGGACGTGGGGGGCCCGAGGGATTTTTCGAGGGGTCTTGGGGATTTTGGGAAGACTTTCTGGGACTTTTTTTGAGTGGGAGGGCCCAGAACAGCTGGAAGTACCTTTTTGAGACTGAGAGGCGAATAATTGTAAATAATAAATAAAATAAAAATAATTGTTATGCCCTCCAGACGATTCAGAGGCGATAACCTTCGAGGTGGAGGACTTCCAGGTGCTAGATGAGTGCGTGGGAGAAGAAGACACACCTCCGAACGACGACAATCAACAACAGGAAGAGTACAACGATAAAATGGATGACCCCGAGGAGATAGACTTCACAGCTGACCTGGGTCTGGACAATCTGAACGACCAGGACGTGATGGAGCACCTGAATGAGATCGAGAACATCGTCCTCGACGCCAAGAGCTTCGGCCTGGAGCCCAGCGAGGACGACAAACCCTCTGTAACAACTGATGACTGTCCTGACATCATTCTCCTCGAGCCAGACAAGTCTGATGACCCAGCAATCAGTGAAGCGGGTGATGACGACAAGAAAGAGGAAAAGCCCATCGACCCTGAGCACCAGTGGTACGAGGAGAAAGTGAGTTCAAGTCGAAAAATCTGTTAACATCTTCAGGGGAAAATTTATTACGAATAATTGATTGATAAATGATTAATTAAATCCTCAGCTAACGGCAAAAGTGGAAACCGTGAAAGACAGACTGGCGAAACTCTCTCGAGTCCTGGAGTACTCATACCCCTGCTACAAGGACTACCTGCAGCTCCAGGCGAAGAGGAATTCAACAGCAGTCTGTAAACTAGATCCCCCGAGACGCTGTCCCCTGGACAGACCCCACACAAATCGCTGGAAATTCATATGTGAGTGACAAAACATTCGCCTCCCCAAATAAACACCTAATTAATTTCCCTCCATTAATTTCCCTCATTGTAAAGATCGTGGGAAGGATTGATCGGGCCTGAAGACGATTTTCAAACCACGAATTAACAAATTGTTGATATTTCTCGGAGAAAATCTTCTGGATGAGATAAATCCAGTGATAGAATAGGAATTAATAGAATTTAATAGTAACTAGCGAGCGATTTGATTGCGTTGTTGTGAATTATTATAAAATGTAATCCGAATGTTTAGGCACTCGAAAGCCTCTCGAGGAAACAGGAGATTCAACGGAGGAGATCAAGGATGAGAATTCCATCGGGAAGATTGTTAAAACAGCATGGCGATTGGCAGCATCTGGTGATTCGGTTTCCAATGCCAATGCATTTAAAACCAATCCGCCATTTGTTATGCATGCTGTTAAGGTACAATTTCATTTTATAAATTATAAATGAAAAATCCATGTTTACAGCAATGCAGAAACAATGACAATTTATCGATGGGGACAGATGGTACGATCATTCAATGACCAATAATGTGAATGGATAAAGTGAAATTGGAGGTGATTAAATGGTGATTGTCACGAGAGGCACAAGATTTTCATCAAGAAATAACTTTGACTGTCATATTTATGACAATCTCATTGTTATGAAAATAAAGTACGAGACAGGGAATGCAGCCTCACGATATCATTTTTAATACTGATGTATTAATTATGCTGAGGTCCTGATGAATTCCAAATGAATTACCAAGATAATTGTGGAGATAGCCGAGATATGGAGCTGATAAAATAATTCTGGATGTCCATCTGTCCCTGGGATCAGTCAAACGATCAAATGATCTTTCAATGATTTCGAGTCATTGAAAAAAATATTTTAACCGTGCGTTAAAAATAAATTAATCGATCAGCTGATCAATGAATAAATCGATACTCTACGGTTGTTGTTTAATTATCAAATCGTTTATTTATCTGTCGATTTATTGATTGATAGATTTTTTTTTTTCATGAAGTGCAGTTTTTCTGGATTATGCGAAGTGAAGTTTTGTTTAGATGTAATAACGATTATTCGTGCAGATATTTGAGGACTTCATCAACACCGAGACAACTAATGAAGATGAGATATCAGCGGTGGATGATAAGGGATTAAATGATGAGAGAGAGACGTGGCTGTGGCTGCTTGTACGTAGCAATAGCAATGATGAACTCATGCTCTTTGCTACGGGGAAAGAGATATCTCAGGGTAGAATGGAGGAGCTCAAGGCTATATACGAGGATGGAGAGGGAAAAGAGTGCAAAGTTAAATCACTTTACTGCAAGACCACCTCCAAGTGAGTTTTTATTTATTTTCTGTGGATTTTTCATCAGTTGCTGATTAAATTGATGATTTTTCATTTTAAACACTGGGTTGATGATTTTTTAGAGTCGATGGAATTGTCGTACCCCAGACTATATTTCTGTCTGGGGCTGAGGCACTCGACGAAACTGTTGGTGATTTGAAGATTCAGCTCGCACCCAAGACCAATTTTTGGTCCAATACTACGGGAGCTGAACAGCTGGGGAGAGCTGTCAAGGATTTGCTTGATCCCAGAGCTGATACCACTGTCATTGAGATTGGATGTGGCCTTGGGCTCATCTGTCTCATGCTAGCTGCGGTAATTATCATCTCCCCTTAATTCTCAGACGAAAAAAAAAATTCCTCAGCGAAGAAAAATGAGGAAATCAATAAATACATAATCAATACTCAATGATTCATCATTGATCTCAGAATATCCCCGATTAAAAGGGCATAACTCCCTGAAATTGAAAATTGAAATAAAAAAAATATTCCCAAAAGAAATAAATGAATAAAAAAATCGATAATAAAAAATGGTTCTTCCAGCAATGCGAGAGAGTGATAGGAGTGGACTCTCAATCAGAGATCGAGGAGGCGGAGATGACATGCGACTTGAATAAAATAAAGAATGCAACCTTCATAATGGGTGATTCCCCAGAGACGATGTCAAAGCTATCGAAAACGGTATTAAATCGTAAATCATGTGCAGTAATAAATGGAAATACATCAGTTGCTCGTAAGATCGACGTGATCTGGGGTCTCCGGAAGATACCATCACTGCGTCGAGTGGTGATGGTGACAACTCTGGCGAAGCAATCGATTCGTTCGATCCTGGAGCTGATAAATCCATCAATACCGGCCCTGGGACGTCCCTTCGTACCGATAAAAGCAGTTGTTGTAGATACACTGCCAACAGGTCAGCACTTCGAGGTGGTAATCCTGATGGAGAGACGTCCAGCCTCGTCCCTGATCCACCCAAAGCCAGATAGAAATCCCAACGCAGGGAAGAACGATCGAAATTCAACAGTAAAATCAGATCGCACCGTCAATGCCTCTAAGCAAGACCGTACAAAATCAGAGACATCACCTAGGCCCTCGAAATCCACATCCAATACTCCAAAGGCACTCGCGACGTCGAAGGGTGTTGCCTCGATGAAACGCCAACCACCTCGTCGATCACTACCTGATAAAACTCTAGTGAAAAATCCATTTCACGAGAAAACATCACCAAGACCCTCGCCAAAACCCACCACCAAGTCCTACAAATCCCCTCATCTTCGTGATCCACCACCGAGATCTGCTCGTCCCCCAAAATCAATTCTCAAGAAACCGGTGAAACGATCTCACAACGAGTGCGAAGTATTCAAGATATCAGTCCCCACGAAGCATCCACGACCATCAATTGATCCCAATGATTTGAGATCAAGATTGACTCACAACAGATCAGAGCCAGATCTTGCTCACCAGGTGAGGGAGCAGCAGAGAATTCTCGAGGCAGCGAAGGAAAAATTGGCGACTAGTGTCGATCCAGCAACAGCACGTCAACTACAGGAAATTCTTAATCTGGCGCTTGAACAAACAAGCAATATGCAGAATCAATTGCCAAGATCTGTGTGGGATAGAATAGCACCACCAGAGGGTTCAATTATGGATAATCGGAGTCCCAGTGATGTGCCCTTGAAGGGGAGTTTTGTCCAGGAGAGAGGTGGTCAGGATATCGTGATAACAACTCCAAATGCAAAATTCAATGAGAGAAAGTATGAGGGCATTCCCCCAGCGAGTCCAAATCAGCTGATGCCAAGTGGTTATTTCGCTGTCGCTGACAGAAGAGACAGACGAGATAAACCCTACGACAGGGGTGATAAATGGGCTACGAGGGGTAGATCACCGAGGAGAATCGGTGACAGGGTATCACCGAGGAGATCACCACCGAGGAGAGGTCTGAGTCCTCCTAGGAGGGGTCCAAGTCCACCCAGAAGGAATTATTCACCTGGTGTGAGGAGGAGGACACCACCGAGGGCTCAGATGTCACCCATCAGGAGATCACCACCCAGGCGGCAGTTGAGCCCACCCCGAAGGGGACCATCGCCACCCAGGAGGCAGATGAGTCCACCGAGAAGGGATATCAGGGATTTTGAGGGACAGAGGAGATCTTTGGGATCGATGGGACCAGCAATGGCATCTATGGAGCAAATGGAGGTCATGCGAAGGCAGCTGTCACCACCGAGGAGGGGTATGTCACCTCCTAGGAGGCAGATGTCACCCCCTAGGATGATGCCGTCATCTCCCAGGCGACAATTACCAACAACTGTCACTCCAATGTTTGGGGATGACTGGGATATTCCGAGTAGAGGAGCTATTGAACAGCAGAATAATTGGCAGAGGCAGAGTGACAGGGAGAGGGCACCCAATAGTGGTTGGAATTTTGGTATGAGTGAGGGAGTCAGGGGTGGTGGACCCATGGAGAGGGGCATGGGGGTTGCACCTGGGGGAAGGGGTGAGGATAATTGGAGTGGTAAACAGAGTTTGAGTGAGAATAGGTGGAGTGCGGGGGGTGGACCACCTGGGGATAATAATTGGGGCAACAGGGGAAAAGAGGGATTTATTGGGGGTGCTAAGGGTTGGGAGGGGGGTAAAGAGGATTGGAATGATCTCCCTGAGGATGCCAGGGATCCCTGGGACGATGGGGGAAATAAAGATCGGTGGCAGGGACCTGCGGCACAGAATCCGGTTTGGTCGCTGCCTGGAGGATCTGGAGGACAGAGGTGGAGTCAAGGCCAGGGGGGGCAGGGGGCACAGTGGGGCCAGAGACCTGGGGGCTTCTCCGGGGGCTTTCCGTCTAGGTCTTTTGGGGGTTTTAATGATGGACGGTAAAGGGGAATTTTAAGGGGAATTATTCTGAGGGGTTCCCGAGGGACAATTCAAGATTTTTCTTTTTATTCTGGAATTTCTCGTGAATATCGATTTATTGATTTAATAATTTTGGGATTTTTCTGTGGAACCCACGGTTTTTTTTTCAGATAAATCGATAGTTGTGGAAAATTAAATGAAAAACTGAGAAATGATTTTCAGATTTTTTGAAATTGAGTTGCAGTTGTAATTGGGAATTCACCGGGAATTATTTGATGGCAATTAGTTGGAAATTAGTTGGCAATTAGTGGAACCACCTCTTGCTCACCTAGATCAACCAACTGGCTTTGATTTTTCACTCAAACTTGTGTGGATATCATTTTCAATTAAAGTATTCAATGTAAATTTTGATTTTCCATTTACTTTCGTTCTCGTAAGTATTAGTGTGAGTATCGATGTCACTGATGTCTCACTGAAATTTTTCACCTCGATGTGATTATTTTGTGGATTTCATTATTGGATATCTCAGAGATGATGGGCGGAGGGAAAATTGCGATGAGAGAATGACTCAAAAATTTAATTGCATTCCTTCATCGATGAATAATTAATAATCGATTTACAATGGATGGATAATTAATTGAGAAATTGTCAAGAGATTGCCATTGATTATTCTCAAATAATTTTCTTCCATTTTTATTTATCCCTCCTCCCAGGGATATCCAGAATAATTAATTATCTCGTTACTGGATGGAGTAAAATGAACGTTAATTAATAATTGCCTGATCATATTCCTTGATGATTACAGAGATAAATGTATGAGTGTCAGTGATCAATAAAGACTTTCTCACGAACAATTAACAGAATTATTGATTTATTATCAAATTATACGGTGACATATAAAAATGCTGAGTTTACGGTTGATGTGATTAATTAAGTTAATGAATTTAAATAAAATCTGCTTTGGGGATCACGACATTCACTGATGCCGTGGCAGAATCACTTGGAAACAAATGCAGGGATTCAATCCACCAATTCGGTTTTTTAGTTGCACTCGGTGCTGAATGCAGACATTTAACTTCACACAGTCTTCAGGAATTATTTTAGCTTTAAGATCTTGTGTATTTTCCCCAGATGTGGAGCATGAAGACTGAGGCGATGAACAGGAGAGACATCACGAGCACTGGCACTGGTCCACTGTAAATAAATTTATTAAAAATATAATTACTGGGTAATGGAAAATGGAATTTCACTGTTGGAAAAATATTTACACTTTAATTCCAGGTGAGTCGTCAGTGTAGAATCTCCACATGCCTCCGGAGCTGGTGCCTGTGTTCCTGTTCCTGGCGGATGTTGCAACTGTTGTTTTCCTCTGTCTGACAGTTCCAGAGCCACTGGTCCGGGGTGCAGCAACAGCTCGACTAGGAGATTTACCTCCAGAGCCCACAGAAGTCGCACTTGGAGCTGCCGGCTGTTAAAAAAAACGTAAAAGTTTATACAAAAATTGATTGTCAATGATTTTACGATGGAATTTCGAACGCCAAAAATCCCATACGTTCTAAAATAATTATCCAGAGAACAGAAATTGCAATTACAAGAAAATTACAATTTTTTTCTGGCTGCCAAATAAATAATTTGCCATTGACAACTGAATTCTCCAGAAAATATTGAATATTAAAAAATTCATCATAATTTGTAATTAATAATTCATCCCGCAGAAAATATAAACGAAGAATTGAAGATTCTCATTGAAAAATGGAAAATTCTTTAATTAAAAAAAAAAAAAGGGATTAACCTCTCAACCTGATTTTGGAAGAGTCGAATAATATTGTTACTCACCATTTTTTGTTGCTATTAATTCAATAAATTAGGGAATTAGGGAGAAGAGACGGTCTCGATCTTGACACTTGACGAAGTGACGGTTGTACGTGGATTGTTCGTCGATCAGAAGCTGAATATTCCTGAGCAAATGGAAGATACGTGTTTACTGAACCTTGTGAACGGTTTTGTAGTGGTGCGACGTGTCTGTGTCCACGTGGTTCACCAATTACACGTCAGCATAAAGTCCAGTTTACATGCCAGTGAATTTAACGTCAAAACCAAAGAGGGTTGACTGAAATAGTGGCTCAGTTCTGGGGGTTTTTTTCACCCCAGCGGCATCGTAATACTGCACCCCAAGAGAGGGAGGGTGCAACATGCAATGCTGGGGTGTCCATCAAGTCGACGGGGTGAATTTTATTTTCTGCAGTATGAATGCTCTTTGTTTTTTATTTATTTAACTGAAATTTAGCCCACTGCAGAACGGGCGGAAGGGGGAAGCCTCATCTTGTGTAATTTCAAATAAAAAAAATTTTCAATGCATTGAAGATATACTACTAATGAAATTTTAATTCCAGAATGAGCGCGTTGGCTAATTGGCAGCGTGCTTGCCTGCCACGCGGACGGCTAGGGATCGATCCCAGCCGTCATTAATTTTTTTTTTTTTTTAATAATTCCTATTTTTTTTTTGTTAACGTCTAATCCATAGAAAGATCGTTTAAAAACTGAATTTTTGAAAATCGAGAAGATATCCAGTGAAATTGAAAAATTTGACATTTTTTAAAACGATACTTTTGCAATATATATACTCCTAATGAAATTTTATTATTGTAATATTGCGTTATCCTAGTGGTAACGTGCTCGGCTAGCACGCCGAAGGCCCGGGTTCGATCCCGCCTTCATTCATTTTTTTTTTTCAAAATAATTCGAATTTTTTCTTTTGTAAATGGCAAATCCATCGAAATATTGTTTAAAACTTGAAGAGCTCTTCGATTGTCATGTTCCCCTGATACTTTTTCAAAAATTTCGAATTTTTCACTTTCAGTGAAAATTTCAGTGAATAGCTCTTCGGTTGTCATGTACTCCTGATACTTTGACAAAAATTTCGAATTTTCCACCTTCAGTGAAAATTTCAGTGAATAGCTCTTCGGTTGTCATGTGCTCCT